GTAGCATCGTTAACGTTTTAGCACTGGAGATGCTCTTAATCTTCACACTTTGACTTCACACAAAATAAGGAAAGAAATTTGACTTTACTGTAGAGTACACTGTTGAAGCATTGTTTGACCCTGTAGAGACACTGTTTGGCACTGTTGAGACACTGTTTGACATTGTTTTGATGTAGATTTCTTTGCCAAAAAAGGAAATAAGGAAGTGTGAAGTTTATTTTAGACCGTCCCAAAAAGGAAAGTGTGAAGTTTATTAAAAGCCGGGGGAGTATAATATATTCCATTCCTATTGAAATACCCACTCTGTCTCAAATACAGTAGTTATGGTTGATTAATTTTAATAGTTACCTAAGTGTTAGATATTATTGAAAAAGTGAATATTACCTGAAATATGATTAAAAAGGTTTGAAAATTCCAAAATAAGACTAATTACTGTCATGTTTTGGCAGTATCAGACTCCAAACATGGCAGTATTTTCCAAACTTGACAGTAATTACTCTCATTTTGGGAGTAAAAAATATGACAATCATATTTTGGAATTTTCAAACTGTTTTAGTCCTATTTCTGAAACTTTCCCTAAAAAAATATGTTTGTAAAATTTACCTATGATAAAATATAAATCTAACTCTTAGAAATCATTAATAAATATAGTTTTTTCCATTTTTGGTCCCCGACTATTGAGTCATTGACACTTTTGGTACTCGACTTTTAATTTTTCCAATTCTGAATATTAATGATTTTAGTCCTTGACTTCAAAGTTTCCCTCATTTAGTCTTGTGAATATTATCAAATTGATATTTTTAGTCTTTCCACTGATTTTGATACAATAAATGAAGGACTAAAAAATGTCAAAATTCTAATAGTTGAAGGACCAAAAGTGTCACTTTTATGAAATTCGGAGAACTAAATATGAAAATTTTCAAAGACATGTACCCAAAGTGTCTCTAGCAAGATAGTCAAGGACTAAAAGTGAAAAAAAATCAAAGTCGAGTACCAAAAGTGTCAATGACATAATAGTCGAATGACTAAAAGTGGCAAAAACTCTTAATAAATACTATGGGCTAGTAACTAGTAAATAAAAGTGGGTCATATACTGGTCAAAGCTGAAGTTGGCCTAGTGAAATTCACCTTTGGTGTACTCTACAACCAAGTAATATAATTCGTAGTTCGCACATCTTTCTATCATCTATTTACAATTTCACATGAATATGATGAAACTCAATTCTTTATAGCGGTTATGTATTAACAATCCTTGAGTTCGACCATATGAATTAAAAAACATGTTAGTCAGCTCTTCAATAAGCTAGTTTTAAGAAACAGGTCAATATACAATTTACACAAAGCATGATTCAGAATGTAAATTTATAAAGACTATAAGATCATTTATCCCGTCTCTTTTATCCTCTCGAAAGAAGAAAGATTTGGATTGGTGCTGGGTGCCTGGGTTATGTGTAGCAATGTAGGAGAGGATCTACGTTATGGGCTATGATGAATTGAAGTCCAGGATAACTAGTTTTTTTTGCTCATTTTTAAGTGTAACAGTTTTCATTTTTTATATTTATCTCACTACTATAATGTTGCATAATACGAAGTATAATTTCTCTTTAGCCCAGTATATCTGAGATTCTGGATCCGCCCTTAATTATATGAATGTAAATTGTGAGCTTAATTTACCCAAATAAGTTACCATCATTTGTTTCGAACTATAATATAAATAGGTAAAGGGCGATTTGATCAAGGCTGAAGAATACTGTGGTAGATCATTGTTGGCAAATCCAAGTGATGGAAGTGTAATGTCATTGTACGCGGAATTGATATGGCAATCCAATAAGAATGCAGCTGCAAGAGCTCAGACTTACTATGATCAAGCCATTCAAACTTCTCCCCATGATTGGTAAGAAGTAATAGTCAAATCAATTCAATAGGCGTTCAAATTTATATTCATTCCCGGCCAATATCTAATAATTTTAATAAGATACTTTCAAAAAAATAACAATAAGATATATTTTGGCTGTTGTGATACATAAAGAGTGTTTGCATTTGCTCAAAAAGCATCTCTTTGTAAAGATAGAAACATTGATTTCAAATACTTCGCATGTATTTTTTGTTATTAACTTTAAACACTTTTTAAAAGCGGTGAAGTAGTGAAGCATACGAATAATCGTTTTCAACTTTTTTCTCTAATATTTTATCAAAATATACAAAAAAAAAAAACTTTTTTTCAAACAATCTAATTCTTTTTAAAAATTACATTTTTATTTTCAAACACTCTCAAGTTTTACAAGAGATCACTTTCACTAAATTATGGAATAAGTTAAGTGGAGGCAAATAAAAACACTACCATGAAATGAAAGTCTCTCTTGTTTATGATTTCGTGGAGAGCATATCTGTTTCATTATCAAAGGGGTGATTGCGCCGTACCATATTTGATCGTTGATTGTTTTTTCACTTTAAATTTAGTGAATGGTTATATATTCTTGTCTTTTTTGGTATTTTCGGCTACTTATTATCTATCAAAGCCGAACCAAAAGATGAAATGGAGCACATAGTTTTTGCAAGAATAAAAGTGGTAAGAAATTCATAATAAAAATGAAGAAAGAAAAGCAGAACAAGAATCAAATATGACCTTATTGTCTTCAAATTAAGAGTGAAATACTTTCTTATGTCATGCCATGTTAGTTTTGACATTATATTCCAAGTTATCTAATTAAGTTCTCGTTTTTGCATGAAACAAAGTTATGTTTTGGCATCCTATGCACACTTTCTATGGGATGCGGAGGATGAAGAAGAAGATGAGAATGATAAAAACGAAGGGCGACAAAACATCGAGTACTTTGCTGATAGATCAAAACCTTGTTTAGTTCGATGAATAATGCAACTTAATTTGGTTGAGAATCAGTTACAACTTGCAAGAAATAGAGATAAATTTGTACATAAACCGTTGGTTCTTAATTATTAATGTTATATATATGCTTGTAACATGTGTTTTCATTTCTCCTTATTGCATGCTATTTTTCACCATTGGTACAAGAAGCAGAGGTGCCTCAGTTCCTGTGACACTCATTTAATATGTGATAAATATTACATCAATATCATCTACGATTGTGCCAAGATAAACACTTCAAAAGTTCACAGTTAACAATCTTTGGGATTTTGAGCACATTAGTATAACTTTAGTCAATTTTAACATCCCAAACAATCTTGAACATGTTTCTCAGTTGATATATGGCGAATGTAATCTCAGTACCTTATCATTGGTTAATAAAAGATCAGGTGGCCATTGTAGATGCACCCTCCCTGCTTAGTCATCAACATGTTCAATTTCAATTGAAAATTGGCTTTATGAACATTTAATCTATTATTATAATAAATGTTTCATGATAAATGTCAATATCCTTGATTATAATGAGACTTGGATTTGTGACCTCCTCTTTAGAATGTAACGGTAATATCATCAGATCACAAGGCACTCGATTCGATTTGGTAAAACTTAAAACTTTACTCAACTTTTTTGAGAGAGGTGGATGATTTATGTCATATCGATAAAATTAGGAAAAATTGAAAATAATAATCTTAACTATTGCCGGTCCGCTGACAATAATCTCAACTATTGATTGTTTTTGTATAATCCCAACTATTGATTGTTTTTGTATAATCCCAACTATATGGACCGTCCGCCAATAATGGTCCATGATCAGATATTACTATACCTACTATAACAAGTGAATTTTAAATAGAAGTTAAGCGTAAAAAATAAAATTCGGGATTATTTGATATATCTCTTATCATTCACTTTAGAAACTACAACAATTTATTTATAGGGATCATTATTGGCGGAAGATCCCTAAAGTTGGAATTATTCTGAAATAATCGATAGTTGAGATTATTATGAGCGGACCGCCAATAATTGAAATTATTACTATTAATTTTTCCTAAAGTTAGTCTTTAGTACGGAGTATTTTTTATGCTATCTTATGTTAGGTGGTATGTGAAACAAAGTGTTGTTTATGGAATTATGGTTGATTAGGAGATTCTGTCTATTTGATACCGTATGTTTCCCCCGTTTTGAATCAGTGACATTTTTAAAACAAATTACTCACTAATGATAAATGATGGTATTAGAAAAAGTCCCAATTTTTCTTATCTATTTAATTTATTTAATATTTATACTATGCCAATATCTAAAGTTTCACACATAACAATAAATTAACATGAGCAATGTTGTTTTCTTAGATTGAAATTTTCTGATCTTATCTGGAATGTTGAAATGATAGATACTCCGTATTTGTTTTATGTGTGTTTTGGGCTATGTTTGGGTGACCACTTAAGTTCAAAATGAGCTGAAATTTGATAGAACTAGACAATTAAATGACATATGATTACATTTGGAATAATTATAGAAATAATTACATAAATATGACCAAAATAAAGATGGTTTACAAAAATATGATTCATTACTAGAGTAGTAATGAAATCATAGTAATTCATGTTCAAGTTTTGAACTTTAGTTACCACATCACTACGTTGTAGTAATGAATAGTCATATTTATGTAAATAAGTTTTATTTTAGTAATATTCTCGTAAAAAACCCATAATTATATGAAATCACACCTAGTATGACTTGTGTGACTTTACTTTGCCACTTAAATGTTTTTAATTGAAGTATACTACCTCCGCCCCTTAAGTTTGGGGCAAAGAGGTGTGATGTGTTTTTTAAGAAAAAATAGAATCATGTGGTTGGTATGATATTGAATTGATAACGTGAATAAAGTAAGAATGAATTGTAACCACCCAAATATTATCAAATATGATATGAGACGAACGTAATGGAACAGACGAAAATAATAAAACGAGATAAAGTTAGGGGAGGGAGTAATTAACAAGTATGGTGGGTTAACAAAATTGATATCCAAAATTTTGGGATGTGTTATTTTCAAAGCACACATTCGGGTGTTAAATTTTTCCTAAGGCGTCCTTTGAGTTTTGACCGGTAGAACATAGGTAAATAGAAGTAATTCTTAACGTACAAAAAATATACTCCTTAAATACGGTGTATAAGATTTCCGCCGCCGAGCGATTATTTGCCGCCTGAGAGAGTAAGATACAGATGGAGGCAAATACGGCGCCGGCGGGCATATATAATGATGGAGATCAGCAGAGAGGCGCTGGAGGGAAGTTCAGGAAGCCTCCGTCGAGGAAACCTCCGGCTAGTCCCTACGCTCGACCCCTGGCTGCACCGATGAATAAGTCTGGCCGCGGCGGTTGGTTAGCGAAACTCGTTGACCCGGCCTTCCGTCTGATCTCCGGCAGCGCCACTAGGATCATGCCTTCATTCTTCTCCAATCCGTCTTCCAATGCTCTCCCACTTCTTCCTATCACCCAAAGCAACGGTAATTTATGTTTTGCGCGTATGTAATTTGCATCAACACTTAATTTACTAGAACAGACATGATTTTGTGTTACACTGACAGTTGGATGATAGTTCTTGTCAGTTTTAAGTTGAGCACGAAAATTGAGTCTTCTATACGAGTTTTGCATTGGGATCTGATAGGGTTTTTAAATTTATAATCTCAACATTTAACTTCACATGATTTCAGGCGCTCGTGATTTTTTAGTTAATTAGAAGCTCAAAAGCTGAAGATTTTATGTTAATTTCCCCTTTTGCATCTTATTAGGGCATGCTCCTTTCTGATGTATAAAAAAAGCTTATTAGGGCATGCGTTACTTAAAACAATCTAGATGCTTGAGTCTGTAGCACATTGTAGAATGGTTAAACTATGTTTATTTCATTTTTTTATTTAAAGATCTGTTTTTTCCTTCCTTCTTATTCTTAGTATGTGCTATTTTCTATATTTTGGGTGTTGCATATAGAGTGAGTACCATATCCAACTCAAAAAACTGTAACATCTCTTTTGTTATATGAATTTGCAAGACGAATTGTTGAAAGGTTAGGTAACATTTGATGGAAATCAATCAGATTTAAAAACTTTTTGTTCACTAACATATAGGTTTTTTTTACCATTATACAAAGGGAGAATAAAAATTACTTGTTTTGAACGGTTCATTCTGTTTATGGATGGTGGGCTGCACATGAACATTGCACTTTTATTTCTACATACAAAGCGATTAGTTATATGTATATGTTATGACTCATGACTGCCATATTTTCCTCTGGTTGAACTTAGCATGCTATTTTTTCAGATACAGAAAATGACGAGTTTATACCGAGTGCAAAGGATGAAGAGAAGTGCAGTTCTAGTGTAAGTTTTTGTCATTTTCTGTGGTGGGTTAGGTTTCATGAATCGACTACCAATGTTTTTACTTCTCTCCCAACCCAACAAAAGAAGCCTGCAGTACATTTCTAGTTGTTGGTTTGAAGGTTCTCAATAACAAACTTTTTGTTTGCCTTGAGAGCATATATTGTAATCAAGAAGACAAGAAATATGTATTATGGAACTCAACCAGCATGTGTGTATATATTCTTACCTCATGAATGTGCAGTGGTTATTGATTACATTAAGTATGTCTGTGTAATACGAAGCAAAAGTTTATTCCAAAAAAGGAATGTGGGTGTAAGTTATTAGGAATGAGTCAATGGGGAATGTCTAACATTGACAAATGAGTACGTAGAACATGTTAGATTGTCAATTATACACCTGCAATGAATAACTATGGAATTACGGAATGATTATTTTCTCAATTTTATGAGATATCATTATATTTCTTTAGGAGAAGTAAACTGCAGATATAGATATTGTGCTGCAATTTTTTTTATATTTGGGAGGTTCTTGAAATCAAAATGTTCCATGCTGCTATAAATCTTTTTTTCCTGGTAGTGTTTGGATTAGTATATTCACTTGTTAAATAATTGACTATAAACATTAAGCAGGAAAAGATGCTAAGATATTGCATTATTTCACTTCTCCTATTTGATGTTCTTGTGATGGCTTCTCTAGGAGAAAGAATCTCCTCAAAGTGTTATGAATTTATGTCTATGCAGTCTGCAATCAAATCTACTGAAAGAATGGATGCCAATGAAGTTTCAGAGCAAGAGAAAGAAATGCGTGAAGATGGAAAGCTGGGGCAAGATATGCTGAAGAGCTCTCCTGATGATTCCAAGATTTCCAGAATTGAGCAGCTATTGAAAGGGAAATCATTTTCTAGGTACCATCATACCTCTATTATTGATGTCCATGCTTTCTGTTTTTAGAAATTTAGCTCTTGATTGATATTTGTTGTAGATTTAGTTTTATGTTCATACTATTTACCTCTATTAGTTTTATGTTCATACTATACTTAAGTTCTTCATTATAGGTGAACTTTTGAAGTTGAGTGTTCCAATTCTTTTCTTTTTCTTTCCAATTAAGATTAGTAAAAACAATGCATTTCGATAAAACGATGTTTGGTGTTGTCATTGAGAATGGGGTAACTTTATCAACTTTAGTTGAGTAAAATCATACTCCGTGTTTGAAAATTGTTTTTGTTTAAATTTAACTTTCAAGTTGTAGGACTATATTTGTACTCTGTGTGTGGGTGTGCGAGTGTGTTACATGTTTCCCTTCTTACATTTGGTATGCTAATGTGATTTTTTTTATCAGGTCAAGTTATTCTGATTAAATAGTACTCCATCCGTCCCTTTTTATCTGTCTTACTTTCCTTTTTGGGTGTCCCAGAATAAGTGTCGCATTTCCTTTTTTGGAAAGAAATTGTGGTCTACAACATTTCACTTTATTATACTTTTTCAACCACTTATACTTTATTATACTTTATTACTAAACTAATCTTCATTTCTATGCAGGGAAGAAATAGTCCGTTTGACTGAACTTTTGAAATCGAAGGCTACTGAAGATCTAGAAGAGGGCGAACCAAGCATGACGATATCAGGAAGGGACATTCTTTTGTTGCGTGACACACCAAAAAAATCAACTGAAAGAAGACAGGAAGTTGTGAACAGAGCTCAATTTGGACCATTGACACCTCTGCCTCGAACAAATGTGAGTCAATTGCTACCACCATTAACTATACTTTCTGAGTTTCTGAACTTTAAATTTTTAATGGTTTTGACTTGAAGTTGATGGTGTACATATGTAAACATATAGGCTTTCCAGTGGTTCTAAAATGCGTTAGGTGGACTGTAGAACTGGGCATAGAGCCTAAGCGACATCTGGGCTGGGCATAGCGCGTTTAGAACACAAAATTGTCGGAGATGGAGAGGAAAAATTGTGAGAAACATATGTTTGCATATTTGATTTACCTTGTAGAGTATAAATGATATTCAAATGTGATGAGAACTTGTAAAGTTTCACTGCTTTTGCATATTTATATTTTTCATATATATATATATATATAGGGATAAATATCCTTGAGAAAATATTTGAAATTGATTTATTCAGTTAGAAGTTTGAACCACTTTTTTATTTTATCCCAAATTTTATTTCCGTCCAAACCTGTCTTCTATTTTCTTGACTTGCATTTTCGGGGTTCCAAACACACCCTAAGTGGCCAAATTGAGCTTCTTGCAGGCGGTACAGGTTTAGATTTTAGAATAAAGATATTTTCAGTTGAATAAATCAATAGGTCACCTCAAGAAATAAAAAGAATTATTGCATGCATAGTTTTCTTGTTTATAATGGACATCATCAATTGCATTGTTCTGCATACTGGATACCTTTTGAATATACTAATTTTTCAGGTGCAAGATGAAATTGGTGCATCACCCATTGATGTTGCAAGAGCATTTATGGGAAGCCGAATGTCAGATCAAAGCCCTAGCCATCGTAGTTTTCTTACAAAGGGTGAACGAGACCCAGAAAATGCATATCCATCATTTCTTCCACCACCTTTACCTAAACCTTCCCCATGTTGGCCCACCATGGTGTCAGACCATCATCAGGACCTTACTACACCACAGAATCAGAGAAGCAGATATGGCCTCCATGACTTTCCTAGGACTCCATATTCTAGAACTTTACTATCAAAATCTAGAACCAATAGCAGGTGCCTTGACCTTTCTGTAAAGTCTTCTCAACAATCTCCCATGTCAACTCGTGGGCAGGTAATCTTCTCCCGGCCGTCGTAGTTATATCATCTAACATTGTGCCGTATGCAACAATAAGAGTCTGCTTGGGATAACCCATGGTATAAGTGCCATTTCTCATAAGTGCCTTCTCTTTTAACTTCTTTAAGTGTTTTATCTGGAAAAAAAGAATGTGCTACTTTCTTAAATGACATCTAAAGTATTTTCTTAATGTTAAATCACATATTCCATTTTTTTACTCAGATATTCCAAAAACTCTTTCTCTCCAAAGCTCTATTGGAAAATGACAGCTTGTTTTGGATAATATAGAGCTTAATTTTTTTATTTTATTTAAGCACTTCAAGTTTTACTCTGTTTTTAGATGAGTCCTTCTTGTTGTACCCACTTTTGTACACACATTTGTACATTTGCCTGTGTACACAGGCAATTGGGAGATAAATGTTGCCTTCATCTTAACGAATTGTCTGTGTACACATGCAAAATAGGGGGTGGGTACAAAGAGATTTTTTTGTTTTTAGGTAGCATCAATTTTTTGCTCTTTTAATAAGCACTAAAAGTGCTTTTTACTGACAAAAGCATCTTTTTACACTTTCCTGCCTAACGTTTCTTTTTTAGGTTAATGTACTTGTCTATCTGTTAAATTTTTCACTTTTTATTGTCGAAATTTCAGGAAAGGGCAAAGTCTGACATGTTTGACCACAGTTATGGATCAGTTGGACCAATCAGGAGATCACGCAATAAGCTAGGTTCAGATTCCCAGTCCAGGAAATCTATTTTCTTGAATCCTTCTAAAGCTGCTTCAGAAATTGAAAGATCACTTGTTCCTAAAACATTCGTACCTTCTCTGGGAAAGAATAAGGAAGCCAGCCACCAACATGATGATACTTCAAAGGCTGGGCCAAATGAGGCATGTAGAATAATACTAGAGCACATTAACAGGCACAAGCCAACGCCGAAAGAGAAGGCATATGAACTGAATCTGGCTACTTCTTATGCAAGGTCAAATGAGAGTTCCGAACTTTCACATTCTCAAGTCCTAAACACGACCGAGTCAGTGACAAAAAACTCTTTGAAGGACAAAAATAGCGAGAAAGGGATCCTCCAGAGGAATTCCTTTGGAAATAGTTTATGTGTATCTAATTCCAATGGGGGGCCTTCGTTGTTCTCAAAGGCTGAATCACAAACTAATATTTTCTCTCCTCCTACTAGTGATCCGAGTTCGTACCAGGTACTCAGTTGTTTTCCTGTATTTTCATAATTATTATAAAAGTGAATGAAAATGGAATGGTGGATAGATCCAATCCATCCATTTGGATGCCATGAATGTTTAGTGATCCATCCATTGCTCTTTTTAAATCTATTGATCACATTCAAAATCCATCAGAACCATCAATTTATCACATTTATCAATACTTGCTATATACTCTCTCTCATTAATGTTTATTCAAGATGTCTAGTGGTCATCTTGATTTGAGCATATAAGATATTAAATTTATGTAGCATTAATTATACTTCCTGTTTAACCCTTCAACTTTAAATACCAACCACATAAAATGATTGAAAAACATGAAAATATAGTTTAGAACAAGAACACATGATAGCTAATGTGTGGTAAAGCTAAAAAAATAAGTAATTTGTTAAGGTAATATTAGTTGCGAGTTATTAAATTTTCCTCGGACCTTTTACATTAATTTGACTTAGATAAAGTGTTCATATCAAGAAGACCGGAGGGAGTAATAGTGTAATACCATCATATGCCTTGTGCATGCAATCTGTACGCACGAGAAGTAATGGTCTTAAAGGGATTCAGTGAATTTAAATATTTTCATCTGGACGTACTGAATGGGATAAGTAGCTTTTCCATGGTATATAACATAAATTTTACCCCGAATGCTGAATAAACACACTCAACCAATCCACCTTTTAGCCTCAGTAATTTGGGGCTTTTTTCAAGGAGAACGGTAAAGCAATATTTTCTGTAAACACCGGTTCTTTTCTCTTTACAGATGTCACTAGGAACTAACATTGTGCCAAGAGGGACCACACAAAATTGGTCTTCTCAACAACAGAGTAATGGCCAGAATGTCTCCACCAAGCCGGAGAATAAATTGCCAGCACATACTTCAGGAACAAAACCCACTTTGCAGGCCATCAGTATAAGCAAGCCAGACCATAGACACAGCATTTTTTCCGATAATACACCCACTGGATTCACCTTTCCCGTTCCTGCCTCAAACGGTGCACTCTCTGAACCGCCGCCGACCCCCTCGATGCCATCATCAGCTGCAAAGATTGTGCCACGTCTGGATGAGCTGTCCGGTGACATTCCTTGTTACAGCTTTGGCACAGAAAAATCCTCGCAGAGACTTGTTTTCTCTTTCCCATCTACGGATGCTTCTGTCCCTGCAGATGCACAAGATATCAAGTTCAACTTTGGGCAGGCGGATGGGAAGAGGAGGTTGTGTTTTAGTACTGTAGGTAAAGCTGTTTGTTAGAATTTCATTTTTTTCTTTTCTTCAGTTAACCTGATATATTAGTTGTCTTGCTTTTCATTTCTTTATATGGTCAATAATTCTTGTACGATAGTGCAACCATTAAGTGCATTCTTCTGTATGTCCTTTTTTTAGAAATGTCTCCAGTAGTTGTAAATTTGCCCATTCACGTTACTAGTTATAGCTGAACTCAATCCATTTATTTTGAAGTACGAATAGCATATGTATTGAATTGGTGATTTTATAGGATAATACGAGAATGATTGGTAACCATGTATTTGATTGAAATATTTGAAGGTGCTGTTGGTTGGAATTACTGAACTATATTGTTTGAGTTGTTAACTATGAAAATAAATATATAATGTTTTTTTAATAAAACATGGTTAATTTATGAAAATTTAATATTTTAAATGTATGAAATTTTTTAAAATAATCAACAATTTAAATAAAGGGGAAAATAGATAAAATACCCCAAATTTTGAAGGGGTGTGAGGTGAACACCCCAAACTTGCATGTTTAATTTAAATACCCCAAAATTTATATAAAAAGTTATTTTAGCGTCATAGTCAAGTATTATTTCTTTTTAAAATGTAATATTATGGTGTTAATTGCATAATTTAATATATTTTAGAATTAATGAAGAAACAATTAACATTCTAAATTTCCATTGCGAAATAAATAATGTAACCCCAAATCTATATAATTGCAACACTTTTAATTTTCTATTTTAATTAAATTATGCAACTAACCCCAAAAACTTACATTTTTCAAAGAAATAATTCATGATAATAGTGAGAAAATAATTTTTTATATAAAGTTTGGAGTATTTATCTCACACCCGTTCAAAGTTTGGGGTATTTTTATTATTTTTCCCTTACATAAAATGCCAAATCTTACATCCATTGGTGTACTAATAATAATAATTTATTTATTTATTTATTTATTTATTTATTTATTTATTTATTTAATATGCCGAAATAATAATAGTGGTACACAACTTCTTGAGTTATGAATACAACTCTGGAATGCATGAAATTGAACAAAAAAAAAATAGAATTGCTAACAGAGCTCTAAATTTGATTAATGACCTATGTTTTGTGGAGTGGACATTTTCCCCATTTCAAATCAGCTGTTTTACCATGATCAACAACGGAAACGAGCTATTATCAAATGACGCTTGGAAGCTTTTCAAAAAACGTTTACAACCCTTTTTGTACACTCAACCAACTAGACGATTTAATCAAACATTTCTGCTTAAACAAGTGAAGTAAAAACAGTCAAACACCAAGCTTCGAACAATTACTTCCTTCATTCCGCTAGGATTTCTCATTTTTTTCACTTTGAGCTATCTCAAGAAGATGTCTAATTCCAGATTTTGTAATGTTTATGTGAATGTAATTTTTTGCACTTTATTCGTATTTTATCAATTCAACACCAATCATACAAACTTATTTTTCTTAATAACCGCACGATCGACTCATCACTCATGTACCAAATTTTTAATGTATATGTATATTTGAATTACGATAAAGTAGATTGACAATGTGTGATATATGTATTTGGAGTATTCATGTACTAATGTTGGCCTTAACATAGAACATATACTATAATATGTTAGAAAGAATTGTCAAAAAAAAAATACCGTATAAAATTACAGTCCACTTTTCAGATTTTTGCTTTATCATAAGCTAAAAAGTAAGGAAACACAATATGATGTATCATGTATACATTGGTGAAAAACAATGAATATTTACTACATATTCTTGATTAAGAATAAGACATTCAGCCATTGACTCATTGAGGTACACCACGACACATTATACTATTACAGTGATCAACTATGCCGTGATAAACAATAATCTTATCATCAGTTATATTTTTGCTTACAAACTATTTTGTAATCATTAAAGGACAATAAAAGAGATTTTTGTAGTAGTAAAATCATTTTCCCCTCCTTTAGAGTCCTTTAAGCTCTCCAGCCAGACCTGTTAAGGTTGTCCACTTCTCAAACGCAGTTGCTGATGCTAAAAAGGCTGTTCTTGATGCTTCAACATCTTTCTTTGCAACTGCATAAATCACCATACCAAAGCATTTACTAAAACTTAATTAGTTCGTTATGCTTGCCATTAGGGAAAAGGCGTTTTTATAAAGGGAGTATGAGATAGATACACATATGAGTTTGTGTGACCCCGAAATCGTGTGTAAGATCGTGGATTTCGAGACCAATCAGTAGAAGCTGTCTAAGGCAGCGGCGTAGCCAGGTTATTTGGGTTGGCCTGCTACACGGAATTTTTGAGATAAATTTTTAAAGTTTTTTAAAAATTAGGATGGGCCCTAAAGTCCAGGACCTAGTATGGCCTCCTATCTAAGCCCATGCTCTGAGGGGACCTTTAGTTAAGTCATGCCCAAAGCACAAACAATATCTACGACCTTGTTCAGGATTAATACAGTATCATAGCCAATTAAGCTCTAATGAGCAATTAGAAAATGTTAAGCCTAAAACTGAGAACACAGACTTCAATATTGGTCTCCTCCATGAACTGCCATCTTGTTGAGACATGTCAATTCATCTTGCACCAACAAAATATGGAGACACAAACCAACATTTGAGGCATTGAGCTAATCCAGCTATTTGGTTAACGTTTTAGAAGAGAACACCAAATCTTTATAGTTCGTTTGGATCTTGAAAGATTCTATGCAAAATGAAACATAGTGTTGTAGAAAGTTGCTTTCTTCGTATGCTTTTATTATTCCATATGCTTAGATTTATTAAAAAGACATTCAAGTAAGTGTCAACAATTATTCAAACAAATTTATTGAGTTCTAGTCTATCTTCTGTTCTCCTCCACATTATGAATCATTTATTTGATATACTCCTTAGAGATTATCTCATTCAGTGGCAAAGGGTCATGGAACATCCTCGGCTAGCAAGATATATCTGTAAAAGCATAGTTTTACTGGCTAAAACCAAAAATATCTATTGGAGGGAAGAGAAATTGAGGGTATAGTAAATAGAGAAGTGAAGGTCAATCTGGAAATGATGCCTATCTGTTGGAGGGCTGACTTGTCTACTTAGCTTTGCGGTAGGCATCAGAATTTCTATTCAAAATTTCTTACCCCTCAAAATGCAATAGCAATTCGGTCAAAGGGCACATGGTAACTTCTTACCTCCTAGTACATACTTGGTTCTAAAACCTTAAGGGCTTTACAGAATGTTCAATAAAAATCAAGAAGAAAAAACCCATGAAGCTACAAAGCTTTATATAATTGATTGTGTTTTGTTAATTATGGAACAGAATGAATTTTAACGACCTATATTTTCCCCTTTTGTAAACCCTTTATATAAAAAACACATTAAAAAGAACCACACACTTATTCAAAGAACTATGTAAACACTCAAACAAAACACTCCAGTTATGAAACCACAGCGTTTTCAACTCAATCAAAGTGTCTTTAAGAATAAATCATACCTGATGAAATTAGACGGGCCAAAGATGAATTGAATTTATCTACCTCAGCCTTTTCCTCAGGGCTTGTGCTAAACTGTTGGAGAAAAGAAATAAAAATTCAAGAGATATATATGTGCACCACAGAAATTGAAGTAAATGCTATGAACAAGAGTAATGACTGATCAAGGTACCTTGTTAAATGCTGAGTTAACATTTTGAACCCAGTCAGTTTTTATGTTTTGACCAAGAACACCACTTGCAGAAGGGAGTTCGTTTTTGTCGATGGCTTGGCCAACTTTGCTCAGCTTGAAGACAAGGTCTTGTAGGTATGCTGTGAAAAGGGTTAGCAATATTAGATAAACTTTGGAGCCATATTTTGCTGAAATAGACTGACAAGCTACTAACTCTTGGGGTTTTTTGTCTCATGGCCTGATAGCTTATCTGGACCGTGCCACAAGTATGACGACTGATTAATTTAACTCTAATACCAATTAAGACATAAGGTTCATCCAAAAAGATCAAACAAGCCAAATATCTTGCATATTGGTTTCTTATTCATATTGAGTCTGTGTGTATAACAAACATATGACTAAAGTTTGTAGTACTACATTCAGCTCCTTGGGTTAAATATACCAAGTTACCAACAGTAAGAATGACAAAGGTTATTAATAAACAACACAATAAAATTAGCTTAATAATATTTGAAAACACCGCTTCAGAAGAATTCTGTAGAATTCGAATAATATATATTCACCAAAATCAATCAATTAGGAATTTGCAGCTGCAAATTTCCCCATACAGCAAAGTACCCAGACGGAAAATATAATAAATGTGAAAACTGAAAATAAAGATCATTTTCTTACTAAATTAACACTGAGTACTGCAATATCCTAATCCTTAACCAATTTTTTGCCAATGTATGGAAAGTGTACTCAAAGATTTTGTGAAATCCCTTACATCCAATCCTATCTTTTGAAGATCCTATTAAGATGAGATATATCCAATTTAATAACTTTTGCTCAACTAAGAAATAAAGGCTGCCCAATTCCCAAATCATTTGTGACTGTTCATTCTCTTAAACACTCAACTCCATAATAACTGTCAAAAGGTAGACGATTTTTATTAACTTCTATATTCTACACACACAAAAATCTGCTTTCCACTTTGATTTTTTTCACGATATTTGTCCGGAAATTTATATGGGAAAGTTAGAGAAACATTAGCTACGTTGTTTATCCAGCTAAATAATCATCATCAAGAATAAACAATGAAACTGAAACAAGAACAGCCATCAACCACAGAAATCTTCATTTGAACTATTAATCATTTTATTGCCATTATCAATCCTTTCAGAAGAAACAATTCTCACCTGTCTCTTTACCAGAGGAACTTATTAACCCTTGTCTCTCAACCCTTTTCTTCTTATCCATTATCACTTTCTGCAACAACTCCTCGTCATCTTCAGCCTCAAGAATTGCCGCATTTGCATCAAAGCTTCCACGTCCGCCGGCCCCACTCAAAGAGAGTAGCAAAGTCGCGGTGAGACAAAGGGATGCGCTTCTTCTCCTAGAGACGAGATTTGAATGCGAAAAAAGTGTCTCATTTACAGCTTTGCAGAGTCTGAGCTTTCTCCAGGATTTGAGCTTCTGAGTGTGGGCTGGAAATGGTGGAGATGAAGAGATAAAAGAGGATTTGATGGAAGGGAGGAAGGATTTTGCATCTGATAGACAAATTGCCATCTCTCTTTCTTTTTTCTTCTGAAATTGTTTAACCAAGTTTCAGGTACTGTAATTTTTGAGATAATTTTGGTGGCAAAGAATATGATGGTGTGGCAGAGGGAGGGAGGTGGGAGAAGATAACAAAAATCCTGAACTCCATGTTTCGGCCCGGGGCATTTCTGTAATAAAAAAATACTTCGCATTGCTGCTGTGGACCCTTAAAAAAATACTCCATCCGTCCCTATTATATCTTCCAAATAGGTTTGGCATGAAGTTTAAGATAGTGGGTATTGTGTGGTGAAGAGTTGTGCAGAGGAGAGAGAAATGTGTAAGAATTGCTGTGAACCACAAATTCTGGCCAAAAAAGGAAAGTGGAAGTTTTAATTGGGACGGACGAAAAAGGAAAGTTGGAAGTTTATTTAGGGACGGAGGGAGTACTCCATAATGCTCCAATATCCCTCTATTATTGTCTCATATCATATTTGATAACATTTGTGTGATTCTAATTCATTTTTACTTTGTTCTCACTTTATCAACTTATAATCAAACACATAATTCTATTTTTTTAAAAAATCACACTACTCTCTTCTGTCTCAATATTAGGGGCCTAGGGGGGTGGAGGGAGTAACATTTTATACATGCTAAATTGATTATATATTATTAGAAAATAATAGTTAAAGTAAGATATGTAAATAGTGCAGAAATTTCAATATAACAACTTTTAAAGAACCGATGAAATGTTTCTTTTTGAAATTTGTCATGTATGGTCGAAAGAATAATGTTGATGATACTAGTATTTACTTAGAAAGCGAAACGACAAAGTACTACATAGTGGCAGCTCCAGAAAATGAAAGTGTTAAGGGTAGAGTAAGATGACATATATAAAGACATTATAAAGTAAACATACTCAATACAATATATCTGAATAGCAAATAGTTGTAACAAAAGATATGAGAACATTAAAATGAAATAAAGTATATTACATGTCAGAAACACAAATAAAGTAAATTATCTCTTCGAGTTTTCTTTTTTTGAAAAAGATCTATTACAATTTCATTTGTGACTGTTTCAAAAACATCTCTTTCTACTCCGTATCAAACAAACTAAACAAGTCACTCAAAAGCTTATCATCCATTTTGTTACGCAAACTAGTTTTCGCTATTTTCATAGCTGAAAATCATCTCTCAACCGTTGCCGTGGCAACCGGCAAAAAGTAATTGTTGATTTGTTGGTGTTACTCCGTCCCTACTTGTATATATATGTTCACTGGATGGGTTAAGTTCGTAATAAATTAGTATTATTATTGTGTGAAATATAATTCTTGCCCTTGTTATATTAAAGTTTTGGACTCTAGGATATGTCACTCAATTGCTAGGAATGTATTGAAGTACACAAATTCCATCGTATATTTACGACGAGGACATATATTTGTGGAGGACAACAGCTCTTTTAATTTGTGGTCTATCATGTTTGTTTTGCCTATATATGTGGACGGCAATTCTTACCTTTTGTGATCTATCATTCTATCCTGTCTCTTTTGCCTTAGTATGGAAGGTTTCATTTTAAAGTGTTCGACAACAATGTGTAGATATCCATGGAAGAGCCAAATTCTACACATTGTTGTCGAGCTCATTGTTGTCGAGCTATGGAAGAGCCAAATTCTATCCGTTGTCCAAATTATTTAACTATTCAAGTATGAGAAATTTGTTGATTTAGTTTGAAAACATGTTTGTATCCACAGTCGACTATTAGTCATGTAATTTTAGTTATCTCCATTATAATGTCATATACTCAGAATTGAACAAGTTTGTTTATATTCAGTACTTTTTCACCATAAATATAGATTGTCAACAAAAAATGTTACTCGTATCATTTTATTTAATCCCGTGAAATGAGTATATTACCATTGAACTTTTTTAATATTACCCAAAACTTTTAGCTTAGAGAGATATATGCATGTAAGTTGTAGAATCAATGATGAGCAGAATCAGAAATTGTGAAGCTATCCTAGATATCTAATAATCTAATTTTCTCAAAAAGTACGCTAGAGTTGCTGAGTTCGGGCCGTTCGGCTCTGGGGTGTGAGAGGCCTCAATCCCTTTCGTACTCTCTTCGTCACAAATTGATCCGTAAAGTAAATATTTTTTGGTTAACTAACGTTAAATTTAAATCCTTCATGTTGGTTATTAATTCAATTTTTAAACTTAAAATTTAAACATTTAGAAATTACATTAAAATCTCTTCAAAATTGCAAATTTCAAATTAGAATATAATAAAAAATTGACATCCTAATCAATTGAATAAATGAAACTGTTTGACCAAAAAAGTCCATTTTGAAAATTACTACGTAATTTGGAACGGAGGTAATATTTATCTAGATCACATAGATCCAATTTTAAATTACCTCTCCTAATGTTTGATTAGACAAATCAATAAGTAGTTTACTTATTTTTTATTGCATGAACCTCTTCAAGTGATTTTAAAATTTTAGTCTTATTTTGCGTTTGTTTAAAGAAGACTTAATTATTATTAATAATGAGAGTAACAAGAAACAAAACAAAACAATACAATACAATAGCTCAAAGTTACACTGGGGTGAGACATTTAATTGACTAGCCATTGAGGACCTGTCGAATTCGCTAACCTCGGATCATAGTAGGCTAATCTATCAGCATCGCTAAACTTACTACTAAAATGTGAGATAACTAAACAAGAATTCTTTAAATAAAAATAACAAAATACTTCAAACATTCCGGTTTTAACGGCCACCAGGAAGAGAGAAGAAGTTTGTCTATCCACCTCCAAAGGAAGCATCCCGATTTTACCAGCTACCTCTAAAGGAATCATCTCGTTTACGGGAGCTCTTTGTTTTTTTTTGCGGTGATGTTCTGGGAGCACCGCCTCCTTGCCTTTTTTTATCTCTTGTCATCAACCTCTTTCATTGATATCCTTTCATAAGTTTGATTTTAAGCTCTCCACTAATGGCCAACAAAATGAACGTCGAGTCCAAGACGGAGAAAAAGGATCAGCAGAATTCACGAACAAAGGCACAAACACGCTCACAATTGGAACGGATCAAACCTCGGTCAGAGAAATCTCTGATGAACGAAACAAAAATGAACAAAAAATCAATCAAAAAAAGATCTCAAGAGAAGAGAAAACCTTAATTAACGTAGTACATGATTAGAGCCTTATCGATCTGCTGATGCATCGTGGCGCCGGGCAAGATCATGAAGTTGGGCGGCTGCTAGGGTTCGGTCATAATAGAATTTACAATCGAACATTTTTTTTATTTTACATGTTTTTTTAGATTGGGTAAAATGTTTTAACTTCATTTGTAGATTTATTTTTTTCCATTTACTTGTTTTTCATTGAGTATTTCGGAGTATAAGATAATGAGGGAGTCTCGATTTACATGATTACTAATGAAGTAACATGATTTTGTATTCCCCTTTATATGTTTGATATGTAAACACATCGCGACGTAATAATATCTTTTAGAGAAATATACTTTGCTTTACTAGACATTTTTAAGTGTTATATTGTTCTAAAGAAGATTCATTTATGTTTTATCAAGTCCTGACGGTGTAAGAAACATACTACCTGTTACACGGTAAAATTCACGTCTCGAATTTTCACCCTGTACGGCCTGCCTTAACGCCTTAAGACAGTCAGCCTTCCACCCAATGCCGCGGCGCAACCCTTAATTGGAATAGGAACGCAACACTTTAACACACACTTAGAATAAAGGCACACGACTTTACGGTCAACGACCAACCTTGTATTATTTCACAATTAATACACTAGGACTAATACAACACGCTCACAATGTCTAACACACTTGCAAACACTCGGCCACACTGTTGTCTCTCGCTAAGACTACAAAACTCGCAGTTATGCCGCGGCATATTTATAGACGAGCCACGTCTGGGAGTTACAAGCCAACTGCCTAGCCTGAAGGGACGGGTCTCTTCGCGTGTGGCAGTTACCAACCGCCTATGCCGCGGCCTTCCGGTCTGCCCAAGCACTTGTCCGCCCGAAGCCCTCAACTGCCTTGCCACCGGTTCGCCTCAAGGCACCTGTTCGCGTGTAACTGCCCTGCCCTTCCAGACATGAGTCATGCCGCACCGAACCGACACGCCTCTTCGAGCTTGCACTCATGCCGCGGCCTAACCCAGGCCACCCACGAGCCAACTCTTTGCCTTGAGCTTGTGACCAACTCTCGTTGCCTTGCGCCCAGCTTGCCCAAGTCCTACTTGTCAACCGGCCAACCAACCCTCGTTGCCACCGAAGCTCCCAAATGTCGTGACTGCCCAAGGACAGCCACGCCCCGGGCTCAAGCCTGGCCACGCACCACGCACTTCCCTTGAGTCGTTCACGTGCCACCTTGAACCACTTGCTTTTGTTGTGCCTCCAAGCTGTTGTTCCGCATCCCGTAAGCCATGCCCCGCATGCCACTGATCTTCACCAACACTTGGATCACATGCCGGACCCGCACACCCATTGTCTCCATTGACCATGTCATGCCGTCCATGAACCGAACATGGTTTCTCGCAACGCCAACCGTTCTGCCCTTATACTTGGTCTAGCTTGCCTTGTCTTGACTAAGTCCCCGTGCCTTAGCCAAACTTCCACCTTGCCCGTTCTTCGCAATGTTGCAATGCCGTGGCATACCTATGCCTTGGCCATTGCCATGATGACTTTGGCCGCATCCCATGCCCCAAAAGCCACCCTATCGAGTCCAAACCAGGTCTCGATAAAGACCCGCCAAAAAGGGGTCTAACAAACCTCCCCCACCAGATGAAGTCGACGCCCTCGTCGACACATCTTCAGCGTCCGAGGTTTTAAATTAGTTTCTGCCATAGGCAACTAATTCACTTGCAATTGACAACCCCAACTGCTAGGTTCGCAACTCCATGCTGCTAAGCCCCGCCGTGCATCACACTCCCCCGCATGATCACTTGAGCTTTGCTGCCCAACGCCTACAAGCCACTTGCACCGTTGTCAGCCTTGCGCACATCCCATGTGCTTTGAGCCTTCTGCTCCGCATTGGCAATACCCATGCCAACACAACGCTTCACACCCCTGTGTGACGCCGGACCACGCTGCATCAGTCTGCCCCGTCCCAAACGTGCCACTGATCAGCCACATGCACTGACGTCTTCCCACGCTCCAAGTGCTTTGAACTTAGATCTGGCCCACGATCTCAAGTTCAAATGTCGAGCTTTCCGCTCTGCTGCCAAAGGATCCTCCCATCCAACTAGCAACATGTTGACCCACGGCCAACAATTTTGGTGAACGCCCCACTCCCTTGTGTGCTTCTCCAAAATATGATGTCCAATCCGCACAGCCCCTGTGTACGCTTGACCCATCATTGTGACACCTTCTAAAAAGCATGCCACCGAACCTTAGCGTCTCCAAGACCTTCGGTCCTAGCACTGCCATACCCAAGAATTGCCGCTGCAGTTGCCCGACGTCCCACGCCTGCAACCTATGCCAAGTCCACGCCCCTCTTGGCACTCGCACTGTCCACACATACAGTGCCCCTGATGACTTTCACGGTGCCATCAGACCAAACGCAAGGGATTCACTGTCACCAACGCAGAATCCTCCTCGGACTCCACTTGCTTCAAGGCAGCCAACTTTTGGTTCTCGGGACAGTTCCGCTGCAAGTGCTGACCGCCACACCCCCAGCAAGCTTTGGACTTTGGTTTTGTCACACTCGCTTCCGTTGCTGCACTGATGTCGTCACACTTCAACGTCCCCCTTGAACCGGAAATGCCTGATTCTCCCTTACCCTTGTTCCCCTTAGAACCATCGGACAATGAGTAATCCATGAGTCCTTCGGCCGCTGCCATGGCACTCGGCAAATCCTTCACAGCCTGCCTCCTCAATTCTGTCTGTGCCCATGGCTGCAGTCCAGACACGAAATTGAACAGTCTGTCCTCCTCCGTCATGTTCTCAATGTCCAACATGAGCGAAGAGAACGCCTTGACATAATCCCTCACCGATGTGGTGTGTTTCAAGTTCTTCAGGGCCTCCCTGCCCATCCAAGAGACATTGTGGGGAAGGAATTGAGCCTTCAACTCCTTCTTGAGTCCATCCCATGACTCCAGCCCGTGTCTTCCCGTATTAGCGTCATCCCTTACTCTACTCTGCCACCAAAGCTTTTCATCACCAGACAAGTACATGGGTGCAATCCTCACCTTCTCTTCGTCCGGCACCTTTGCGGCTTTAAAGTATTCTTCCATATCCCACAGAAAGTTCTCCAACTCCTTGGCATTGCGGTCACCACCAAAGGTCTTCGGCTCCGGCACTTTGATCTTTGAAGAGCCTACTTCAGCGCTTGGACCCGGTCCCGCTGCAAGAGCCCTCTTCAAAATCACGAGTTCCGACTTCAAGGCTTCGTTCTCGGCAAAGCGTGCATCCAGTTCTTTCACCAGGTCTGCCCTTGAGGTCTCAAGTGCCTTAAGCCGCACCCACACCGGCCTAAGCGCTTCCTCAATCAGCCCACGAACCAGCACCTCCGCAGTCTCCACCCCTTGGTCACCGGCAGACGAATCACGATCTTCAGCCATCAGCTCTGATACCAATTGTTACACGGTAAAATTCACGTCTCGAATTTTCACCCTGTACGGCCTGCCTTAACGCCTTAAGACAGTCAGCCTTCCACCCAATGCCGCGGCGCAACCCTTAATTGGAATAGGAACGCAACACTTTAACACACACTTAGAATAAAGGCACACGACTTTACGGTCAACGACCAACCTTGTATTAATTCACAATTAATACACTAGGACTAATACAACACGCTCACAATGTCTAACACACTTGCAAACACTCGGTCACACTGTTGTCTCTCGCTAAGACTACAAAACTCGCAGTTATGCCGCGGCATATTTATAGACGAGCCACGTCTGGCAGTTACAAGCCAACTGCCTGGCCTGAAGGGACGCGTCTCTTCGCGTGTGGCAGTTACCAACCGCCTATGCCGCGGCCTTCCGGTCTGCCCAAGCACTTGTCCGCCCGAAGCCCTCAACTGCCTTGCCACCGGTTCGCCTCAAGGCACCTGTTCGCGTGTAACCGCCTTGCCCTTCCAGACTTGAGTCATGCCGCACCGAACCGACACGCCTCTTTGAGCTTGCACTCATGTCGCGGCCTAACCCAGGCCACCCACGAGCCAACTCTTTGCCTTGAGCTTGTGACCAACTCTCGTTGCCTTGCGCCCAGCTTGCCCAAGTCCCACTTGTCAACCGGCCAACCAACCCTCGTTGCCACCGAAGCTCCCAAATGTCGTGACTGCCCAAGGACAGCCACGCCCCGGGCTCAAGCCTGGCCACGCACCACGCACTTCCCTTGAGTCGTTCACGTGCCACCTTGAACCACTTGCTTTTGTTGTGCCTCCAAGCTGTTGTTCCGCATCCCGTAAGCCATGCCCCGCATGCCACTGATCTTCACCAACATTTGGATCACATGCCGGACCCGCACACCCATTGTCTCCATTGACCATGTCATGCCGTCCATGAACCGAACATGGTTTCTCGCAACGCCAACCGTTCTGCCCTTATACTTGGTCTAGCTTGCCTTGTCTTGACTAAGTCCCCGTGCCTTAGCCAAACTTCCACCTTGCCCGTTCTTCGCAATGTTGCAATGCCGCGGCATACCTATGCCTTGGCCATTGCCATGATGACTTTGGCCGCATCCCATGCCCCAAAAGCCACCCTATCGAGTCCAAACCAGGTCTCGATAAAGACCCGCCAAAAAGGGGTCTAACACTACCTTTGTTAGGGGGTGGAGACAATTTTTTGTTGTGCTAAAGAAGAAGAATTTCGTTGTTAATAATATGGTGTGATATCATGTATTGTTTCAACGAAAAATGCTATCTATCTGAAGTAATTTTTAAGTTTTATAAGAGTAAAAGAATGTTTTCAAGGAGCTCAATATTCTTCCCCTCCAAGTAGTCCAAATAGTCATGCATAAGGGTCTCTCAATACACACATGCCCATAACCTTCGTGTGTGTATTCAAACGTAAATTATATTTATAACTGTATACTACTATATTTATTTATTGAACTGTTTTTTAGATGAATTTATATTGTATCCAAATCTAGTTAGAACCGAGTTGTATACTTGTATACTAAATTCCGTAACTTGTTATAAATTTTTTAAAAAGGAGTGTTGATCCAAACAAGGTAAACGAAATTAAAATTACATTCATACTCATAAAAGGCGTCGTAAATGTCTAAGTCCATAAATTTCTCGTCCCAAATTTTATTTATATCACGGGCAATACATCTTTAAAACAATACGTCGTAAATGTCTATGAAATCTATATAGTGTCTATGAAACCTATATAAAATTGAACGTATGAGAGCGTGTGCAAATGAGATGTCTACTCGAAGAATTTTTCCTTAGTCTTGGTCAATTTATTATGAATAAATCAAGTGCCGTGACACAAAATTTTGACGTTGATAAATAAAAGTTGCGCTTGTGGAAGACCGGATGTGATGACGGCGAGTTTTTCTCTTTCACTTTTCCCTTGCTTTGAAATCGAAGGATTCACTCGCACGGGTAGTTCAATTGGTCCAATTGTGGAAAATTTGGAACGATGATCAAGGATCGAAACCCGCAACGGTCATATAAAAGTTACCGTTCTTGCATGCTGGGCTAAACCTCTGATACGCACGGGTATAAGATATGCACGGGTATAAGATACGCACGGGTACCAGATATCTCACCATTAGGCCGACTTAGGGAGTGTTTGCAATTGCTTCAACTTTAAAAAAGTGATTTTTTAAAGTGATTTTGGGAAAAGTGATTAGTAGTAAAAGTTGGTAGTGTTTGAGAAAAAAGTGATTTTGAAAAAGTAAAAGTTGGTAGTGTTTGGTAAAATAAGTACTTTTTGTGTAATAGAAAAAGTGAGAAGCAGTTTAAAGCACCCTTCTACCTGCTTCCAGCTTTTAGCTTCTAAGTGATTAATTTAAGCAGAAGCTGTCATTTGAAAACACTCTTTTCAACTTTTTTTAAGTCAAAAGCTGAAAAGTGCTTTTTTTAAGCAATGCCAAACACTCCCTTAGTCCCGTAGGGAACAATGAAATTGAAGGATTCTACGCCCCACTCCATCGCCCGCCCGTGTCAGTCCTTGAGTCTTGATTCGATTCAGATTCCTTCATCTCAACCCTTTCACACTCTAAAAAGCATACCACCCCACCCCCTCACCCATCACCCCCTCACTTTCACAACACACATTTAAAGCCAAACAAGCCTTAGGGTCTGTTTGCAACAGCTTCTGCTTTTAAAAAAGTGCTTTTTTAAATGAAATGGGGAGAAGTGATTAAATAAAAGTTGATAGTGTTTGAGAAAAAAGTGATTTTGAAAAGTAAAAGTGGGTAGTGTTTGGCAAAATAAGTGCTTTTTGTGTAATAGAAAAAGTAAAAGCACTTTTGACGCGGAAGCCGAGAAAAATAAAAGTTATAGTGTTTGGGAAAATAAATGCTTTTTTAAAGCCAAAAGCTGAGAAGTGCTTTTTTAAAAGTAGTTGCAAACCAACCCTTAACACTTAATCCCCCTACCCCTCAGCCATCACCCCCTCACTTCATCATTTGCTAAATCTTGCCACCCCAAAACCACCCTCCATCTTGAATCACCCCATCCAAGATTCAAAAACTATAATAAATCATCTCCTTGAAGTGAAAAAGTTCTCATATTCTAAGAAATTTGAGAGATTTTGTTGTATTTTCTTTCTGGGATTGGCGTAAAGAATGCAGAGATAAAGAAAGGCGTGAACTTTAATGAAAGAAAACTCTGGGTTTTTCTTAGTGATGAGGTTTCTTGAATCGGAGTGAACGGCGTCGTTTAGGGTTCAGAGGGATGGAGATTTTTCTGCGGTTCATCCTTCTTCTCTTCATGCTTCTCAACCATAATGGTAAGTTTTAACTTCAATTCCTTAATTCTTCACCCCTTTTGAATCAAGGGGTTTTGATGAATCTATTTATGAACTTCATGACTAGTAATACATCGCACATGGACTGACTGTTATCGTTTTGCTCTATTCATGCTTCTTCTTCTTTTTTGAGTTTTCAAAAACAAAATTTAATCTTGGAGATTCTATGATCTTGCCAATGATGAATTTTTGTCATTTGTTTGTTGTGAACTAGCTTATGAAGCCTTAAGCCATTTATCATCTTGTGTAAGTTATCATGCTTGAAAACCAGAGAGCTTCTGGGCCCAATTTGAATTGAACCAGCATGATGAACTTTTCCTTTTTTGTCTTGATCCAAGATAAATTATAATTTGCTGCTCTAGGAGTATTTGAAATGCCATCATGTCAATTTTAATCTCTTCTAATTTGAACTGGTCTAATTTGATAAATGTGTGTATACATTACTATTGTCGAAGTGTATCATGTAATCTAATCTTTCAAATCTGATTTGATTATATCTAACATGATTTTGGACTTAAATCAATTCAATTTAAAATTCTTATAACTCATGAAACATTTTTCCATTGCAAATGGTGATACTCCAAATTTGCTTTCTCAATGACTTCATCCCTCTCAAGTTAATACTACCTCCGTCCCTAATAAAACTTCCAAATAGGTTTGACACACAGTTTAGGATAGTGGGTATTGTGTGGTGGAAAGTTGTGCAGAGGAGAGAGAAATGCGTAAGAAATGTTATGAACCACAAATTCTTTGCCAAAAAGGGAAATTGGAAGTTTTATTTGGGACGGACGAAAATGGAAAGTTGGAAGTTTATTTAGGAACGGAGAGAGTATACAATTTGTAGTTTCTAAGGTTACCGTTTGTAATTTGTCTAAAGATAAAAATGAGGATACATTTTGGCTTTGAATCATATTTGATGTGTCCCTCAAAATGAAAGTCTAGTTTCACTCAAAATGTGGTGTGAATGTCAATTTACCTAAAAAGATAAATTTTTCCATGATATTATTCAAATCAAAAATTAAGATCATATTAAAAAGTGTATTAAATTGCATATTTTAAAACGGCAGATTCCCCCCTACCCCAAAAAAAAACAAAAAACGGCAGATTTTTTTTTCTAATAGCAATATCTCAATCTCAAATAATGGAAATAAATACAAATAGTTACTCTTGTGATCTTGTCTTGTTTATTTGACTTAACTCTCCGAATGGTTTTTTACTTTGGGTAAATTGAAAACTACAAAGTGCTTAATTTAGTAAACGGCCACGAGCTTAATTGTCTTAACCTTTTTTACTTCGAAATTTCCCTCTAAGTTACACCCTACTTTTTCCTTTTCCCAATATCCAAAAGGGGACCATAATGCCATAACTTTTCTTGGTCGGATTACAATTTTATGACTTTAGGGCCATGGAAATTTTAAATCAAAATTAAAATTTTTACTTTTTCATTTTGAATTAAAGTTTTAATTCAAATTTTATGACTTTAGGGCCATGGTAAGCAAGTGGTTAGTTAATTTCAGTTCAACCGCGTTTGGCATCTCGATAATGTTACTTTTCTCAATTTTCAGCTCAACAAACGGCGTTAGCCTTCACGGGAACTTACGGCATTAACTACGGCAGAATAGCAGACAACATTCCTAAGCCAGAAAACGTCGTTAAACTCCTCCGCGCCGCAAAAATAAAAAACGTCAGAATATACGACGCCGATCACGGCGTCATCAAGGCCTTCACCCGAACCGGACTCGAATTGGTAATCGGGCTGCCCAACGGCGACGTGAAGGACGTCGGTGCCAGCGCCGATCACGCCCTGAACTGGGTCAAAGACAACGTCAACGCTTTCCTCCCCGACACGAACATCGTCGGGATCGCCGTCGGGAACGAAGTCCTGGGCGGCGGCGATTACGAACTGGCGACGTCGCTCTTGAACGCCGTCAAGAACATCCACAACGCCACGAAGGATCTCGGGATTCACCGGAACGTCCAGATAACGACGGCGCATTCGCAGGCGGTTTTCGCGGATTCTTTCCCCCCATCCTCGTGCGTCTTCAAAGATGGCGTTTCCCAGCTTATGAAACCGCTCTTGGAGTTCTTTTCCGAAATCGGGTCGCCCTTTTGTCTAAACGCCTACCCGTTTTTGGCGTACACTTACAATTCGGACAAGATTGACATCAATTACGCCTTATTCAAGTCGAATGAGGGTATTCGTGATGAAAAAACCGGTCTTTATTATGATAATATGCTGGATGCCCAAATTGATGCGGCGTATGCGGCATTGGAGGATTTAGGGTTTAAGAAAATGGAAGTGGTGATCACGGAAACGGGTTGGGCTTCTCATGGGGACTCGAATGAGCCTGCTGCGACGACGGATAATGCCCGGACGTATAATTATAATCTCAGGAAGAGACTTGCGAAGAGGAAAGGGACGCCCATGAGGCCGAAGAACGTTTTGAAGGCGTATATTTTTGCACTCTTCAATGAGGATTCAAAGCCGGGCCAAATGTCTGAGAAGAACTATGGGCTGTTCAAAGCTGATGGGAATGTGTCTTATGATATTGGGTTTCATGGGTTGGATGATTCATCAGCTGCAGCATCCTCTCGGGTGTTGTCCTTGAAGGTATGATTGTTATTTCGTTGCTCTCGAGTTGTAATTCTGCTATGAGTGGTATCTCTCTAGACTAGCTTTTGCTTGTAAAGTGCATGCGTTTTGTACACACACAAATAGTTCTAGATTGAGCTTTGTTTGGCTGGCCTGAGAGGAGAACTAGAAATTAGTACATTAATTATTGTGGTAGATAATAAACCAGAGCTCTTTTTAGGTTGTACACATAAATAAGTTTAAGGAAAATCCCCCCCCCCCCCCCCCCCCCCGAGAAGATGTGCCTGAGGCCTGAGGGAGTTGCATTTTGGCCTTATACCTACTGATCTTAAGAAGATGTGTTTTAAGAGAAAAAAGATAAGACCAAAACATGGGTGAGACAGTCTCACTATGAGATGTAGCAAATTTGTAATGACTTGAAAATGATAGTAATAGGGATAGCCTCAGTACTTCAGTTGTAATGAGACACATAATGAAACCTATCATTATCTCATTTATTATAGAGTGACTTGTTATCACCAACAAACATTACTTTTTGGAGTGACATGTTGACAGTACTTCGCTTGATTGAACATAGTATCGCATAAGAACTTCAATCGTAGGTGTTCTTCACATAACTGTAACATCTGAACAGTTTTTGCATCTTGTGGATAATTTTTTTTGTTTATAACTAACCAACAAACAACAACATCCAAGCGTATTGTGGATATATTTTCTTGTTTATAAGTTATAACTAACCATTGGCATTGATATAAAGTGTAAGATCTTTTAAAATTAAATGTTAATATACCAAATTCAAAAGGCAGAAAGTAGAAACATGACTTCACGAACACTTTTGGGATTGGCTTGAATGTCTTTTGCAAATTTTCCATTAATTTTCAAGTCTGTTTTTTGTTTTTAAAAAACTCATACTTCCTTGATTTCATTTTTTCAGAAACGTAAGAGAAAAAACATAAAACATAAAACCAAATCAATAGCAAAAGGCACCTTAGAGAGGAGTAGACTTTGAGTTTCTGGTTCCAATTCAGTTTGCCATTACACTGCATCAACAAAAAGTTCAGTATATGGGCAATGATGCCAGGAAGATAGATCAGTCCACATTTACTTGCACGGGGCCAAACAATGGATTTCAAGATCTCAAGTTTCTTATCTAATAAAGAGTGCAAGGGGGATTGAAAAAGTGAATGAAATGCATTCGCTTTTTTGAGTTTCTAGGTTGGACAGTGTTCATCCTATGTAGGAAATGTTCTCTTGGCATGAAAAATGTGATATGATCTCTTCTGCTACGAATGTTTTTGGTATGAATTCATTCAATTAGAATAAGTAATAGTGATCTCTTCTGCACAAGAATAAGATGAAGAGAATTAACTTCTTAGCTACCTACAGCAATGTGTAATAGTGCTTTTCACAGTGAGTTACTTAGCCATCTAAGGGCATTTCCCACTGGGGTCCTGCCCAATTCATATTAATTCCCGACTAGGCCTTCTACTATGCCGTGCAACGATTTTTCAATATTAGTTTACGCTTAATTAAACCGCCACATGAGTTGTGTGATGAACTTACACGTTGTTTTTCGTGAACATGCAACATGTTTCAGGGAGCGGGATATCAAATTTATCATCTCTTGATGTTAGTAACCTCGTCATCTTCGGTGCTTCTTCTGATGCTATGATGATAGTGGCATCCATTTGGGACAGCTAAATACGAGTGAGTTCTGTAGGACCATAGAGAACGGCAGTAGTGATGATACTTCACAGAGTCGATTTATTTATCTATAGTCGCTTCAGTAATGTATATGAAATAAATAAATAAAGTTATTATCATTTTTTGTTTTGTTCATGCCTTCATGCTGGGGATTTGGGGTGGGGTGGGGTGGGAGAGGGCGTCAACTGAGCAATGGTAATTGATGGGGTAAACTTAAAAGATGTCAATCCAAAATTAAAACTTAAAACGAGGACGAAGTATTGGTTTAAATGGTGGGACTGGGGGTTTTCAATTACGAGATATTTTTATTTAACTAATGTTAAAAGTAAACTTTTGTTCTTAGAAGCTGCTAGTCTTAAAATAGTTCTAAAAAAAGTTCATAATTTTTTTAAACGCTTTAAGTTATTTACCATGCATACGACTAACATTTACAACATAGAAGGTATGTGTTTGTGTTTCTTATGCATTCCACTCATATGATGGAATTGGATATTCCTGGAAGAAAAGTTGGCGAAATTAATACCAACCGAGTTAGTAATGTCCATATAGATTAAGAATTATGATAATGAGAGCACATTAGTTCGGTTTGGTATGATTTGATAGGATTTGATTTGGTTAAAGTGTTATACCCATGTCCATCCTATTGTAAATACTACTCCCTCCGTCCCTGAATTATCTTCAAACTTTCCTTTTTCGTCCGTCCCAAAATTATCTCCTCTTTCCCTTTTGGGCAAAGAATTTGTGGTTCACAACCATTCTTACACATTCTTACACATTTCTCTCTCCTCTGCACAACTCTCCACCACACAAAACTCACTTTCTTAAATAATGTGCCTAGCCGAAATGGGAGAAAGATTAAGGACGGAAGGAGTAGATATATAACAAGTTCAAAATTTGGAAGATATATCTTGATGAGTATATATAGGGATGGACTGGGCCGGGCCGAACCGGCCCGGAACCGGACCGGCCCGCTACTGTGCGGGCCCGGACCGGACCGGGCCCGGTTGGCCGGTTCCGGGCTTTTAGCCCGTTTTGGCGGGTCGGGCGGGCCGGTTCCGGGCCCTGTTTTTGTTGAACCGGCCCGGGCGGTTCGGGCCGGGCCCGGTTCATTTTTTTTTTTTTTTTTGGTTTTTTCAATTTTTTTTCTTTTCCTAGGGTAGGGCTGGGTGTTTTAGGGAGGTTTGGGGCGTGGGGGTGAGGGGGGGGGGGGGGTAGGGAGATAACAAGAAAGTCAAAAAAAAAAAAAAAAAAAAAAACATTGAACCGGGCCCGGCCCGGCCCGGCCCGGTTAGGCCCGGACCCGGTATCAACCCGGGCCGGTTCCGGGCCCATGTAACCCGAAAAAAAGCCCGCCCGGGCCCGGCCCGGAACCGGAACCGGCCCGGCCCGGGTCCATCCCTAAGTATATACTTGCATCAAGTGCAAGACCTAGGGGATGGTGGGCAAGTGCCCCCTCTTCCGACCCCTATTAGTATTTAGAGATAAAAGTCGTGCCACCTACCTAGACAAAAAAAACTATTAGATATGCCCCCGCAGTATATCAAAGAATTTAGAGCCCGTTTGGTAGCACGAAAATCAGCTGTTTTGGCTGATTCTGCTGAAATTTATGAAGTTCTGGCTGAAGTGGCTGTTTTGGCTGATTCTGCTGATGTAAGAAAAAAATATTTTTAAAATATATTTCATTAATAAAATAAAGAAAAAATTATATGTAAAAATAGATAAAATGGTAATCTACAGTAACTTCAGCCAATACAGCCAGAAAAGTAACTTCAACCTTACTTTTTCTGCTTATTACACAATTCAGCGTGCGAAAGCAAAATTACGTGTTTGGTGAAAAAGTTAGTTGATAAGCCTGATAAGCCGAAAAAGGGTGTTAGACCTCTTAATTATGTCGTCAAACTAAAAGAATTGACCCACGAACTTAAAAAATAAAATCAATTAAGAACTTTAACCCGTTAACAGCCGGTTAGAATCCTACATGACAAGTCGACGTGTCCAATTTTTCGTTGTTTTGCTTTATTCTTTCTTTTTCCTTCTAGCTGCCAACCATTTTCTCCCTTCTTTCTTCATTCACCCCAACAGCTCCAACCTTCTTTAATCTTTATCCGCTTCTTTTTTCTTGTGCATAAGATTTTTTTCCTTCCACCTCCTCTCCCACCAGGGGCGGATGCACAGCTTGGATGGAGGGGGCAGCTGCCCCCAATAAACCAACAGTAATCCTGTATATTATACTAGGGAAAAAAATAGGAGCTTTGCTCGATTGTTAATGGTGAAACGTGCTTAACAAAAGTTGAACTACATTGCTAAACTTAAACTAAGAAATGAACGCAAATTGTGTGGAATGGCAATCAACTAACTTTATTGATACTCCCGAGCCTTATATATACACATACATCATAGCTAGTCTTTACAGTTAGCTTAACAAATTTACAAGCGACTTTCTCAACTAACTAGCTTCTTGAGGTTTTTTCCTTCAACTTCAAAGACCCGATACCTTCCTTTGAGTTTCGAGTGTGGTGTTGAAGTGAATTGAGTAGAATATACGGAGTATGACACTAACAATAAATGGATGAGCAAGTAAAGTATTTAGCAAGTGGACTGTATCTTATTAATCAATAATAAGGGTTTGTTATAGCACACTCTACTATGAGCCCGCTAGGCCGATCGTCTAATCTGAGCAAGGAGTAAGAGGGAATAATTGTTATTGCTAGAGAATACAAATTGTCAACCCCTAACTATAAAATAAATACTATTATTTATACTACTAAGGGGTAGATTCTAGTGATGTTGTGGAGGTTCTTGAGTGGCTAGCTTGCCAACCACCAAATGTACTGCATTAAATGTGTTTCCTGCCAATATCTTGCTTTCCCGCCAAGGGGCCTGGACGAGTGTCCCCTAGTCTTCAAATTCCGGTGCCTAATAGGCACAACGACAGAGTTCTGCTCGGTCTACGCTGGCCGTTCTCCTCGAGGCTCTTGGGTCATCACCTAGTTTTGTTTGGCAAAGGTCGCTGATGTTGAGCGTCTTTGATGACAGTACTACTTAAAATTGTTTTTGCTCATTCAGAGAGCAATAACAAATATTAAAATGTTTGGGTAAAAGTGTAAAAGTATTTATGGATGATTCGTATTTTGCTTCTGTTTTTATAGAAAAAGCAGAAGCAGAATCAATTCCAAAACACCCTGAATATACTCATATGTTACTATAATTAAATATTATTTTGCCAAATTATTTATGCTATTATTGTTATCTTAAATGCTATCTTGAGTAATAAATAACAATTGAGCAAAAAGTTTAATTAAATAAACTACATATTCTACATTCTTCATATATTGCTATCAAGTGCAACTTTGTGCATCACTTCCTTTGCTCAGTAAAATCATATGTTCACATATCTCCATAGTTTGTTGATCTAATCTTCATATAGTACATCAGTCATATCCTCTCAACTTCCGTTCTGGGTATATACATCTTTCGTAGCATAGTCATTTCCTCTTAACTTCCGCTCTTGGTATATACATCTTTCAACAATGAAGGAAAACTCACGATTTTCACCAGTCAATGAGTCTAATATATTAACCTAAATCCTCTTTCTAAAAGGTAAAAGGGGTTTATGAGCAAAGGTCCATTAGCAAAGTTCTCATGTGATCAAGAAGATCTGCTAGTAAATCCTCCTACTCATTGACAATAGTTATTTATCAGAGCTTTATGTGATGTTGTTGGTCTAGTTTGAGAAGTTTGATCTAGCAAATTCTAAAGCCTTGAAACAGATTCATTTGAGTACTTGTAGGCATAGTCAAACCATTATAGGTACCAGTCTCATCTACTCTTTTTTTTTTCTTTTTGAGTGGTTCTTTGTTGGTGCTAAAATCAGATAGCCCGTCACGCACACTTCACACTAGGCACACTTCACACTAGGCGTGGATCCTACCCAGTCATGGGCCAATTCCAGGCCGAGACCGGCCGCTTCACCAAAAATATGGGAGACCCAAGATCAGCTCAGCATAAAAAGATTCTAAACCGAGTTGAGTAGACCAGCTCGTCAAGTAGGGTGGGATCAATTCGATCCAGGTCGAATTTGCTAAACCTGGAAATTACCCGTAACATACTAACATCTTGATTTATTAAAATGTGTTAAATAAAAACCAACAAGGTTATGGATGAGGGTCTACATCAGATTTTAGGTGAACAAAACCTATAACACGCTTATGCAGATTGCAGAGATTAAGAGATACTCAGCAGTATTTTTCAACTCTAGCTCAACTATATGGACTGGATAATATGGAAGAGATAGGACAATAGTATATGATATGCTTATACATGCTAAAATAGACATACATGTTCAGACATAAGCAAAACAAAATCTTGAATTGTGCATTAATATATCAAAATCAAAATTAGCTCGTTTCTGACATAATAAATCTCGTAAACTTCCTCAAAAAGAGGGGATACACTGAAGGATATGCTTCTCAAAATCACAAACTGTGAATAAACATTACCATTGATAAACTATAATAGCTCAGGTTCCTACTCATCATTTCAGAACGTACAAGCTATCTACAGTTTAAGCAACCAAGGTGCTGGCAGTGGTTGACTCACTGTAAATCACAAAAAGAACAAAATTTTAGCTACATAAAATCATGTGGGCATTTTGAGAGAAACGTTATGAACAAATTGTCAGGTGCTGGATATAAATTTCAAAAGTAAAAAAATTAGTATCTTTCTTAAATATTAAGAGTATATATTTATTAAGATTCTTCGTTTCCTGTTGTTAGACTAGTAACCATTACTATCCATGCAAATATTCTCTTTAATTCCAGTAAAAGCATGAAGGTGCAACAAAAATAGAAGTTAGAACAGTAGAATATACATGTTTCTGATTGGTATATTGTAATGCATAAAAATATACTCTGTATGATTATGTAGCTTAAAACAATTAAAAACTATAAAGATAATATTCCAAATAAAAGTCTAGCATCTTCACAAAAAATGACTTTGAGACTGATGGGGGTTAATGAGACTAGATGGGATTTTAGGAAGAAAGAAAATGAGATCATTTTTAGACCAGCATGAAAATGAGAAGACATGCTGAGAAATCTTACTATTTCCAGACAGGGGGGAGCTTCTTGGTTTTTTTGTAGTAGCGTGCAAGGCGATGAATTCTGCTCTCAACGAGAATCAGGCGAAATTTTGAGTCTTTGTCCTTCCTATTCCTCTCCAAGTGCTTCCTAATTGCAACTGCCTTCTTAATCAAATGGTACAAATCCTCTGGTATCTCAGGAGCCAGCCCTACACACAATTTACCAGATCCAAAGCTAACCGCATTTTATTATTGCTATAACAACTAACCAAGTTACAATGTAGAAAAAATTTTATCAAAAATATTACCGTGAGCCTTAAGGATGCGGAGAATTTTGCTACCGGTTACACTCTTCACTTGAGCAATTCCATGTGAATCTCTCAGAAGAACACCAATCTGTGAAGGTGTTGTTCCCTTTTTGGCAAACTTACATATACTCTCCTCCACCTTAGATAATCAGGATTAATATGAGAAACCTTTTTTAACACAGAAATTGATGCCGAAAGATAATAGGGAGTATATGAGGCAAACAAAACATCTGTTCACACTTACATATAATTTAGACATGGTATATTTTTTAAATTTTATCTTTTCATGTGTGTTATAAGTATTAAGCAATCTAAAAAGATGATAAGAAATCTAAATGTTCGGTCATACTTCAGTTTTCTTGCGTTTGCCTGAAGTAGATGGACAAATACATAATGACTCTCCTAAGCATTTCTTTCCATTCTCCTTGGCTTTTTCTGAGATCCATTACATTGACAATCAAATGCCAATGTGGCACTATACGGTACTTATGAATCTATGGCAATGTCATGGAAAGGAAACACATCCATGAAAAGTTAAGTTTATAACCAAGTTGAACTAGAAAGATAAATTGTAAAAATGTTATATAGATACACACACACACACACACATATATATATAACTCATGTTTTGTTTCCCAGGTGCTTGAAAATGTAAAGCATCGTTTAGGTTTTATAGACATTGTACAGTAGAGCTAGACAAATTGGAGGAATCGAGGATTTAAAACAACTGCAGGCACCTAAATTCATGGAGTGGGACTATTACTTAGTCCAGGTGATCCGCATTTAAAAACGAATAAGTGGGCATTCAATATTCAGCAATTATCATTTACTGCATTTGCTTTACTTGATGCAAACTAAAAAAAATACTCACTTCCTGAGCGGTGGTCTTCAGCCAAGCAGGAGGAGTTCGTTTGTAAGGAGTTACCGAAGAGGAGATACCTTTACTGAAATCCAATTGAACAAGTAAATCAGTAAACTTTCAATCATATCCTCCCATATATACACTCAGTTGAGAAACCTTACATACTGAGTTTTATTGACTAAAAATAAAAACGAGGAAGTACCCGCGACTGTGCATTCGACCCATGGCTGCTGCGGCGGCGTGGACGGAGGCGGCTGTGTGATGCTCCTGATAATGTTACAGCAGCACAGATCTTGTTTTACAATATTAATTGAAATTATGTAAGCTTAGAAGTTGAAAGAGTTAAAATGAAGAGGAAGCGGCTGTACCTTCACAGACGAAGAACGACGAACTCCAACGGGGGCCAACAACGAAGACGATGGATTCCTATACTTTATATACTCGTGCGAAACCGATAGGTTCCTAGGGTACTAATTTTCGAATGAATGAATTGAAGCTGGGCCTAATTTCAAGCGTTGGATATTATATGGACCATGTATGTTCACCAGCCCAGTAAATTTAAAAACATTTAATATAGGATGTTTTCTTTTGGATTGTTCGGTCCGAGACCAAAATCAGACCATATCAGACCAGATCAGATCATACTTGTGTAGTTTTAAATTACACAGAGACCAGGCGTTTACAAGACCAGATCAGTTCAGCCCAGACTAGATCAGTTCAGAACAGACCAGACCAACAAATTTCAGTCCAAAAGAAAACATTCTTAGTCTTGAATTCAATGTGTTTATTTCAATTGCTCACTTTAACTAGTACTCCACTTGTGAGATTCTCAGCCAGTGCCACAGGACACTAATATGCTTATATTTTATACTTATTCATCATTTCAAATAAGGTAATATTATACTCATTTTAAGGTTACACATGTGCAGTAATTAAAAAGATAAGAGTATTTATGTGATCTACAAAGATTAGAGGTTATAAATATACAATAAAAATAACAACGCCAATTGTGAAAGTGTTTAGCGTGTCGTCAATATTGTTTATCAATATTTTGAGTATGTCGAGTTACGTAACTTGAGTATGTCGAATTGTTGTATCCTTTTTCACAACAATTCCCCATTCATGGGCTCAAGGTTATAGGAATAGATTTTCTAGAACACGTCTTTAGAGTAGCAGTTATAAACATAAGCTTCTTGATTGTTGCCCTTATCAAATATATCACTCACAACATGTGGGCTTGAGATTCCATTTAAGTTCCACGCCCTACAAGAACGCATTCGTCCTTCTAACCTAACATTGTACCGGTGTCTTCCCTGTTTCAACTCATAATTACAAAAGTAAATACATGAGTAACAAAAGTAGAAGAAACACAAGACTTTACTTATAATTACACACATAACTTGCAAATTTTAACTGCCCAAACAAACCTAACAAACCAACACAAAGCAACATAATATATCAGAAATTATTCATAAGAAGTGAGGAGTTCAAGGTGATGAGAGTACATTCGTAAACAATTTTCGAACACATAGAGCAATGAAAGTGTTGTCTTCTTTGAACACACAGAGCAACGGAAGTATTTTCAAACAATTCGACTGCCCCAGACAACATCATATTTGAGTCATATGAACAGTCAAAGAAACAGTTTTGATCGAATCTAGAAGTGAAGAAAAAATTAATTTGCAGAACCTCAAATCCAATAAATGCAAATAGCTATTGCTTTGCGGTCACGATCGAATCCTTCCACCTTTGTCTCCAGCCATGGAATCAATCAATCTGCCTTGTCAATTTTCGCAGGTAAAACCCTAACTTCAGTCTATCGAGGAGTGTATAGACATTTGGGAGATATCACTGACTAGTACGTTGTTTTGCACTTACCTGACTTGGCATACAGTCCACGCTGGTGAATAATTAACACAACGCCATTCAGCCAGGATTTGCAAGTCGTTTGTAGGTAAACTCACTCATACGCTTCTTTTTAACAAGTAAACATGTTTATGTGATATTTTTAAATGATTTCCTAACAAGTACATAGATTTATGTGACCCTTTTATTTATTTTTTCAATTAGTTGTGAGTATGCGACAAACATACCTTAAGGATGAAACTTTTGATCTGAAATTTAATGATCTGATCTAGTCTGAACTAATTTGATATGATCTAATCTAAAAATCATATGGTTCGAAAGTAAAAAACAAATTCCATTACGTCCTAGGTAAACCGTAAACGACTTACGAGTTGATTAATGGCCGACCTTAAATACAATAAATACATTGCCGAGATCGAGCTTCTCGCCTATGGCCGTGAGGTTGTGCCTTAGCTCCGAAACCACAACGTAACCCGTTCAGTCCTTTCCTTGTCGAGAACCTTGAAGGCGTCGCGTCGCTGGCGATCGAACGTATCAGGCTTGAGGTGCTTGGACATAAGGTCAAGGAAGCGATTGAAATCGAAGGAGACGTTGAGATTCTCATCGGCGGTCAAACTTTCAAAACCTTCCAAATAGGTGCGCGGTCGTCTTCATATCAGAATTAGGGATTGGCAATCGCCTCAAGCCTCCTATGCGCTATTTCTAACTTTAATTTGGGTTTTAATTTTGTTAATTTCATCTCAGGAATATTCCGCATTCACGATTTTCAACATCTGTTACGCTTTCTGGGATAAGAACGACACGAGTGGCTATTTTTTTATCCATTCCGGTGAGATTTTGTAATGTCTTCGTTTATATCCACGTCGAAATTGTGTAGGCGCTTGGTTTCGCGTAGGAATCCGTTATTATTAGGGACGAAGTACAACAAGAGCGGTTGGAAATCAGGAAATTCTGCTAAAGCTAGATGCTTGAGTAGCATTACGGGTATTGGTTCAGGTTCTTCTGCGTATTCATCTGTCTATGCTCCAGAGAGGGGAATTTATAGCAACGCCAATGTTACTCAAAGGAGAAACTTTTTGGGATGTGGCGATGGAGAAGAGGGGAATATGCTATCTAAAGTTTATAATGAGAAGCGTGTTATAGGGTAACCCCCTTTTCTTCTTTTTTTTTTTTTTGAAGCACAGTAACATTCAAGGATGTAGGTTAGGACGGTTAGGCACATGCAGTTGTGTGTATCGTTTTTTGCTTATTCTCCCAGATGCAAATGGAAATTGTAATTTATTAGGGATTAGTGATTAATTGGCATCATGTTGAATGTTTTCTTTGTAGGCATCTTTCACAATATTTATGAATTGTAATGAAATGCTATGCCATCGGGGGATTCATATGTCAGAAAGCTGTTTCAAAGTTTTACTTTGCTTGAATTATTATTATGACTATTTTCATATGGAATGCCTGCTAATAAATTATTAGATATTTTCTGATGTACCAATAAAGTTTAATATACTTTTTAAGTGTTTAAAGCTTATAATATTTTACTTAAATGACTTGATTATCAGATACTCTCCAGAGCAAATGTTTGCCGTGGTTGCTGCTGTCGACCTGTATGAAGATTTCCTTCCATGGTGCCAAAGGTCAGAGATATTAAGAAGCAAACCAGATGGATCTTTTGACGCTGAGTTAGAGATTGGTTTCAAATTTCTGGTTGAAAGCTATGTATCCCACGTGGAATTAAAAAAGCCGTCATATATAAAGGTAAGGAACTTCTTCATTATTTTCTTGTCTCATATAACATCTTCATTTAATCATCGGTTATTTTTGTAACTTAAAGTTTTAAGGACCTGATGCATCTTATAATTCCTCTACTGGATGCCAGCATGATACAATGAGGACTACATTATAATGGGACTTGTAATATACATAGCAGTACGTAGTTCTTAATATGTACTACGTATGATTACATGGCAGTGTAAATGATTTTTCCATAAATTTATGCTGTTACCTTTCTTGGAGTGCTGTTATGGGACTGGAAGGCAATTTCGACTCCAAATATCTTTCACAATTGCATTGCACTAAGCTGTAGGAATGTCCATCTGTGTAATTTTGAACATAACTTTAATATCTATGACTACCTTGGCTTCATCTGCATGCTTGTTCATACTTATTTCTGTTTCTCAAACACCTTTTTCCTTGCTAGCAGTTACCTTTTAAGTTATTATTATTTGGCGCCTTTGGCTTTTTGTTCATATTCTCTTGCACTTGAACTCGCAGACAACTGTATCAGAGAGTAACCTTTTTGATCATTTAATTAACATCTGGGAGTTCAATCCTGGGCCCAGTCCAGGGACATGCACCCTTCATTTCTTAGTGGACTTCAAGTTCCAGTCGCCCCTTTATCATCAGGTGACTTACTTTTGTGGTCCATATAAATTATGAACAGTGTTTTCCTGTGATTTTTGCTTTAGTTTATTTATTCAAATGCTATAACATGGTAACAGATATACTCATTTGAACCATCATAGTAGTTGACTCAAAACTGTGTGGCAGGTGGCAAATATGTTTTTTAAGGAGGTGGTCTCTCGGCTAGTTACATCATTCAATGATCGTTGCAGGTTGATATATGGACCTGGAGTTCCTGTAAATGAAAAAGTTTATGAACGAAGGGCATGAAGATTTCTTTTTTCTAGTAGTTTTACAAATTCATTTTGTTTTGTGGTAGTTAACTCCAATCTAGTTGGGATGTTATTTTGGTAAACAGAAAGAACGAAACATGTAGCTAGGGGGGTTGATTAAATTGGTGTTCTTAACTGTAGCCCCAAATTCTGCTTTGTAAAACATTTACTCATTTTACTAATCAATTATTCAATTCTATTGTGTTTGTACCATGTTTATTTTTTTTATTCACCCACAAGAAGGCTCAAGTTCTGTGTGTGAGTGGTGGTGGGGGATCATCATCGGTGGGGCTCTCAAGCTGTTTGAACTTTGAAACACACATACAAAAAGGAAAAACAACATATTTACCAAAACTTGAAACTGAGTATACCAAAATTGAGACGAATGAAACTGAAATCGACTAAAATTGACCAAACTCTTGATGATTCGATTTACAGTTTATGTTTTCAGAGTTAAAAAAACTCTGAATTGACAAACACAGACCTAAATGAGTTTGTAAAATCCAAACCAATACACAAATCGATCGAAAAAATTGAAACTGACTCAATTTGTGCCATTTGATTCTCCGTTTCACATTTTTTAAACTGAGCCACAAAAAACGAAACCTAGAAAACTGAAACATATGAAAAAGTGACGATTAGGCCTAGTTACTATGCCCTTCTTTAGTCTTTCTCTCCAAAGCTAGATTGGGACCTGGGCTTAGCCAAACGTGAATCAGTTACAGCTCATCATCTTAAAAAACCTTCGCCTTTTACTTTTATAGTAAACTGAAATTAAAATTTTGATACTCAAGGATTATGCTGAAATTTTTATTTTTTATTTGAACCTGAACTAGTAAAGTTGAATATACGTTGTCTAGATATTTTATTGGTGGTTTATTAGCTAATCAGCCAAAAGACCCAAATGGCCAAAACTCTGTTCTTCCTTCACAATTAACCTCTGAGCTCCTTCGAGTCTTTGCGGGACATTAATTTGATATAATTCTATGATTTTATCGAGAAATTATATCCTAATAACTGCAAGAATCCTAAAAGAAACAAGAATGGAATTCGAACAGCCATGGTTATTGAATGTTCAGATCAATTTACAGAATACAAGACAATTCATAACCAGCTACTTCTATAGCACATACTGAGCTATTCAATTAGATCTTAAATACGGAGCATTATACTTTCTATAGCCTATAGGCTCTTATAGTCTTATTTTCTGTCACAGCCTATGTTTTCTTCTTATTTTTCAATACATGAGGCTCATCATAGCTCCATGTTTTGTGTTGGCCGGATGAACGAAGCTGTGTTTGTAGACTTTTGAGCTCTATCTATCTATTGCACATTTGCAGCATTAGTTTGAAGTGAGTTGGATAACTTTAATTTGTGTGTTCTCTATGATGCTTGATGTGGTTGTATAATGAATGAGCTATCAAATGCGGTTACAACGAATGCATATATAAGTAAAAAGCATGTACAAGTTTCATTGGTAAAATAATATCAGCGTAATTATATAAAATCTTCTTCTCGTCATACACTTCCTCATTATTAGTAGAAAATGCATAAAATACTTATACGTTAATGGCGTTACACAATGTATGTATTGGATCTATTAAGACTTAAATTTCATCCTCAAAATCAACATGCCATGAGGAGTAACTCAAATACTTTAATAGTTTTTATAGTTTTATTATTTTATAGTTTTTTGATGTGACACAAATACTTTAACATGATCTATAATTGTGCTCTTTAAAAAGTTACGTATATGATTATTGTAGTGATGTTGTTCATTTGATCTTATCCCAGCCTCAAGGTGCTAATTTTTGGCAAACCATTAGGATGATATGCTGCTTAAGTTCCCGTCGTGATGCTAAGCAAAGTAATGGCTCCCTCGATAACTCGATTAATGGTATTGTAAATCTACTAAGATTAGGGGTGGGCATAAAACCCGAATCGAACCGGTACCGAACCGTTCCGTAATGGTGCCGAACCGAATACCGGGTATTTAAACGGTTCTATATATTTTTGTCCCGTCCTGAAACCATACCGTTTGAAACCGGTACGGCCCGCAGCGGAACTAGAGATAAATGTAAGCAGGGGCACAAAATCAATGCACTTGAATATTTTATATTTTTTCTATACCAGTTCAATATATCTCTTTTATAGACCAACAATTTTATAGCCCAATTATGTATTTATGCGTCCTTAAAATAGCTAAATGTGTGTATTTATACATATAATATACGTAGTATATATTGTTATTTTTTCTTTTTAGATAATTTATGTTATATTTTGATATGTATTGAAAAAATATTAGAATTTTAGAGAAATCATTAATCATTAATGACTTCATTTCTAGTAATGTTAGCGTACATGACTTTTTGTTGTATCATGTTTGTGCAATTTTACAACTTAATTAATATAGTTAAATCTTAGCTCTCAAGGTTCAACTATAAATTAAATTAGAACTACAAGTAATGAAGAAGAAGAATGTTGAGGATTTCTATTATATTCAACAAATTGATGATATTCTTTTTTATATTTTCACGTGAACTAAGTAAATTAAGGATGATATTTATCTCGTGCGTCATCGTTTTGCTATATTCTTTCTTAGTTGTGTTGCACTATTTGTTTATTTGTGAATTTTAGTCCTATATATGCAATTTGTTGTATTTATATATGTGAGTTGGTTTGTGTGATGACATCTACTAATTGCAAGATTTGTTAAAAAAGTTTAGCATGTGTTTGACATTGTACCGTACCATTTTATACCGTTTCGAAACGACATGGTACCGAACGGTTCTATCCTTGAAACCGGACCGTACCGGACCAGACCGTTAAAAACCCCATGGATACATTACGGTTTTACTAATTTACCGGACCGCGCCACCCCTAACTAAGATTGTAACCCAAGCACTCAAACGAACTTTTAGTTTTTTTCAAAGACAAACGAACTTTTGATTTATTTAGATATTACCGGCCAACTAACATCTTAAACAACTGCTTAAAGTTTAAGGTAAAATGAATTCCACTAGATAGGAGAAGTATACATTTTCCTTCAATTCTTCTTTAATTTGTCACAACGAAGTCACATAAAGAGGACCTATTCAATTCTTACAAGGAAAGATGCGAGTTGTTGCCTCGTTGGGTGGCTGGATAAGACGACAAGTCAAACCCAACGCTAATGGCCGGGGAACATCTATCTCTTCTAGCTCCACAAGAAAAGTAAACACAATTTTTTCCAACTAGTGTTTACTTTTCTTTTTGTGCCTTTTATATTACTCGTATCTCTTTGTAATTAGTTTGGTTTTGTCCTCCTCCCCCAGCCGCCTAAGTTTGACAAATATAAATATATATAGACTAATAAAAGAAAGAAAGAAGACTGAATAATCATTATTATTATGATGATTATGATCCGACCATACAATATGCTTTCGTTTTATAATAATTTGACAGTTGGTTATATTTTTTTTATTTGTCCAGTTGACCCTCCAACGTAAATTAAGTTTACAGACTCCACCTTGCATGGGTGCTAAGTTAGCCCCCACACGTCGGCTAAACATTGAGTTTGTATAGTTGATTACCCACATGATGATTTATTCCATTTTGAAGCATACTTAAAACTCGAACACATAGAACGTTTATACGTAGTATATGCTTTCGTTTTCATATATAATACGTAGTATATATCTCTCGTTGTAAGTCATTGTGAGTAAATAAGTATGACTCTTGATCGAAAATTCAACATCATTCAAATATGAAATGAACTAAATTTGTCTTCTAATATTAATCACATTCCCAAATTTTCTAAATAACATCTTATTTACATATTAGCTACGTGAAGTTAATAATATACTACATACGTAGTATTACATATATATTCAATCAATAATTCTTTAATCTTTATATATGAATATTTTAACTGCACTCAAGCATAATCTCAAAGCGATTCTACCCTTTGATGATTTTGTGACTTCATCACTTGTAAACTTTTTTTTTACTTCGCCGCTAAGCTATAGGGTTGGACTCGGGCCGGGTGGCCCGAACCGGAACCGGCCTGAGCCGGTCACTATTTGAACCGGCCCGGCCCATGGACGGTTCGGGTCAACCCGGCCCGGTGGCTACCGGTTCCGGCTTGGGCCTTCATTTTGATGAACCGGCCCGGCCGGTTCGGGCCGGATTTTTTTTTTTAATTTTTTTTAAGTTTTTGGGTTGGATTGAGTATTTTGGGCCATTTGAGCTGGTTTGGGGTTGAGGGGGAGGCTAGGGGGTTGATTAGGAAAACCCCAAAAAAAAAAAATATAGAACTGAACCGGGCCCGGCCCGGCCGGTTCAAAGCCCGAACCGGAACCGGTCCACCCCTACTAAGCTAGTCACAACTCACAACTATATATGCCATCTACCTTAGTACCTTACTAATGTTACGTAGTATGATACTACTTTCGTCCACTAACATTGTGACAAGGAGAGGTTGCATGATTATTAAGAAAAATGAGTTTATGTGAATATTAATATTGAATTGATTAAGCATAGATAAAATAAGAATGATATGAGACAATATTAGTGAATGTTTTTGAAAAAGTAAAATGAGACAATTTTAACAAGAAGAAATGGGTAGTATACATGCAATAGTAGACCATATGTCCATATGGTGAAAGGAGAATGAATGTACATGCGGTGGTGAACAAAATACTCCGTATGTTTTAATGTCGTCACTCTGTGGTGGATTTTGTACATATGTAATGATCGTCAAGTTGGATATATATTTGCTAGATTCTATGGTACACATAGATCAATAGGAATGATGCAGTTGAATTAATTAAATCTAAATTAAAAGGAATATAATGATTTGGACCAATCAAATGCATGGTAGGTGATATGGTACCCCAATTTTTAAAAGGGTACCGGAGTTGTCACCTATATATTTTAGTCAAATATTTTCAGGTTATTTTTTCACACAATTTGTTTCTGACTTAATTTGATACCACTGTTCGTACGTGAGAGCGTGTATACTTGTTTAAAGTTTTTCTTGGTGTATACAAAAAGTATATATTTTTTGTGTTGTCGTTGTATACAGAAACAATTAAAGAGTGTACACAAATGAATATGTGTTAAGATCCGGGATTTCATCCTAAAATCAACCTGACAGGAGAACTAGCTCAAAGCCTTATATAGTACTTAATATTTAATTGTTTTATAACTTTCCGTTTTTTTTATGGAAACTTTCCGTTATTGAGACAAATGTTTTAACCATATGTATCTAAATGACCTCTAGTTTTTTCATTTGTTTATTATCCAAACTCAAATGCATATGTGATACCCAGCTCCTATATGGTAGAACGGGTCGGGCTTTAGCCATTGACAAGGAAGTTCCAACCACTCCGCGTTGAAACGTTTTTGCCGCGTTGACTTTTCACCTGTTTATAAAATGACTGCAAATCTTCCATTCCAAACCTCAACCTGCCTGGATCCATCATCTTTCTAAGCTAATCTTCTTTCACTAAAAAAACAGGGAATTATATCGTATTCTTACAGTTAGCGGGGGGCGACCTGAGATTGAATTTCATAGAACACAGGCTAAGCTAGGATGGGTGGTAAAATGATTTTGATGATATTAGCCGTTGCAGCCGCTGCTATCGGCTTTCGGGGCTCAGATGCAGCAACGTACAGCGTCGGGAACGGCGCGTGGTCTATACCGACCAGTAACAGCGCTTACTCTGATTGGGCCAAAAACATCAAGTTCGCTGTTGGAGATGTCTTGAGTACGTTGTTTCTACCCCTTTTCATTATTAATTACTTCACATATGTAAAAAGGGGAAATGCCAGACAAAATTCTTATGTTTTTATTCCTTAATTATGAGTAATTTTTTCAAAGTTTGAAAAAAACTGTCATATTTAAAGTCTGGTAATGTCAAACTTGGCATAAATTACTCTTATTTAAGGATTAAGAAACATGTTTGTTTTATTCTCTGAAATTTCAAAACTTTTTTTCTCCATTTAATACTTATGCATGAGTAATTACTTTATACGGAGTATTTAGAAAGTAGTCTGTCAATTATGGATGCATATTGCCCTTTTAAATTTTACATTGTTCTATTCATATTTCAAAAAAAGTTTCAATAGTATAACTTCCCTATCATTTAGAGTTGAGTACGTTTTTGAAATTGCAAGTGGAGTTTTACAAGGTATATGGTTTTTCACATATTTTTCACACATTTTCTCTCCCTCAAAATTAAATTCCTAGCTTCGGGGGCGGAGATAGGGGCTCAAGGTGGTCAACCGACCCCTTAAAGTTCGATAATATAGAGTCTTGAAATACCTTCAATTTGATATGCTATGAGTCGTGAAAACTAAGAGGCTTTTGTTACTGTAGCGGTACTATAGTATTATCAGGGGCGGAGGCAGAGCACTGAGTCGGACTAAGCCGGTACAAAGAATATTTTTGCAAAGAATATTACACGGAATTTTTTACACTAAAAATATAGACTCTTTTAAATTTTGGGCTGGGCCAGGGTTGGCCCTCCCTTAGCTACGCCCCTGAGTACTACCTCCCTCCCATTGGAAGGTTCCCATAACAAAACGACACAGTTATTAAGACAATAATTAAATAAAGTACTTCGAGTATATTTTCAGAAATAATTTTAATAGGTATATATTTTAATGCAGTTAGTATTGATAATTGTGATGTTATAAATGTATTAGTTTTAATATTTAATAATTAATTTGTCACTTAAGATTGTTAATTGTTTTCTAAAATAGAAATGAGAACCTTCTAACGAGACGTCCAAAAAAAGAAAATTGTGAATCTTCTAATCGGACGGAGAGAATAGCCCTGTAGCAGTATTGTAACTGCTTTTTGAGTGGATTTGTTTCCAAAAAGGGAATGAGACAATTAATTTGATATGTCCCAAAAAGGTAACTGGGACAACTAAATAGATACAGAGGGAGTACTATTTCTTATTTATATTCCAAATTCTAAAATAAAACACCTTATTAGCCCATTAGTTGTGAAAAGTTTATAATACACGACATATATATCAATACAATAACTGTTTAGGTCTCATTAAACCACCTTTTATCTCAAGTGCTCCGTGTATATGAAAAATTTAACTCAAATATTGCTTAATAATGACCTGTCATTTTGACAATGCATATAATTAAATTTTGATCATCTCACACATTTTTCTAGCTCCGTCACTACCTAGCTTGATTCCACGTGTTTTTAAGAAGTATGGAATTTGTTGTCTACTCCGGATAAAATTGACTTTATGTTTATTTTACTATGAGTTAACTATAGTAAAATTTTCACGTTTATTTTAACTATATATTAAAATTTTCACGTTTATTTTGAAGTGTGGAGTATATCGTTTATTCAGCTAATAAAACGCAAATCTAACCCATAAAATATGCAGCCTTCAATTTCACGACCGGAGCACACACGGTGGCCGAAGTGAACAAGAAGGATTATGATTCCTGCAATGTCGGTTCTCCAATTTTGATCGATAATAACGGTCCGGCAAATATAACGCTCAAGTCTACCGGCCCGCACTACTTCGTATGCACCATCCATTGCGCCCAGGGTCAAAAGCTAACGGTCAACGTTACTTCCGCCGGTAGCACCTCGTCGCCGCCGTCGCCGCCGAAAAGCAGCCCCGCCCCGGGCTCTACTCCTTCATCTCCGCCACCACCAACCGGAAGCAGCCCTTCCCCGGGTTCTAGTACTTCAACCCCGCCACCGCCGCCGCCCTCTGGCGCCACTAGTGTGTCGATATTTTCGGGCCTAATGTTTTTACCAATTTTCTTGGCAGCTTTGTTGTAAAATTAAATATGTTACAGAGAATATTTTTAGCTTGGCATATGTTTTTCCCTGTCTAATAATTACCTGATATTTATTTACTTAAAAGTCGGGTATTTTGTTTGTTAATAAAGGAGTTCGATTTGTATTAGCATTCAGGTTTGTATTCATTGATTGAATAAATTGAAGGTTTGCGTTATTTCAATGTTCGTTTCAGTTTTGTTTCATCTCTTTCTTTTTTGTGAGCAGATAAAAAATATGGTCACTGGCTCTAAGGGGCAATAATGTAATGCAGAGCTAATTAAAATCTCATTTCTTTTTTGATCAACTAATTAGAAGCTGGAATTGTCCAAATGTCAACCGAATCAAGTACACTTATTTAACTCGTTATAACTTGATCAAAGTTTCATTACAGCTCAATCTAGTAATTTATAACTGTATTGAAGCGTCGTGTGTTATAATTAATTAATTACCATGCACAAAATAAGCCATATGAAAATTGAGTATTTTGGCACTTTGATTAAACACGCACCTTGAGTGAGTATTATATTGAACCACGGTCCGCTGACCAAGAGGCCCAGACATTGACCGTGATACACTAGTAGATAGTATTTGCATAATGGTATACTCTCTCCCTCTTATTGGACTTTGCCAACTTTCCTTTTTTAGTTGTCCCAAAAAATTTTGTCATTTTCGTATTAAATCAACTACTTTGTGGTTCTGCACATTTCTCTCTCCTCTGCACAAATTTCAACCACACAGTTTTTACTTTTTATGATTCTTATTTCTCACCTACTTTGTACTTGGGACGGAGGGAATATATTATCATTATTCACGTATTTTTGATTAACTCTTTTTAGGGAAATATTCTCAAGATATGACTAAAACATACCGAGTTTCCCAAAATATGACTACCTTTGTTTTTTCCCCCGAAATATGACTAAAAATCAAAAAAATAAAAGAAATTTCATTATATTACAATGTGGAAGGTCGAAAATGCCCGTATTTAAAAAAGATGCATTTTGTACTAATTTCATCCGTGTAAAAATATTGCACTTTATGAATGCGATATAGCACACCATTTACTGCACTTTATGACGGAATTCATTGCACGACATATAATGTACTTCATGCACTTAAGTTATGACACTTCAGTTTGTCGTTTTTTTAGTTTTGATAATTTTAGTTTTTACGATTAATTAAATATGATGCACTGCATGCAAGAGTTATGGCATGGCATTACAAAAATGTTTGCATTTTATATTTCTTTTTTTCTTCTTGCATTACAAAAATGTTTGCACTAATTTTTGCAATAATCAAGATTTGATAATTGCACTTTATATCAATGTTAATGCTTTACATTATTGCAATTTTTGTCACAATCACTTTATATATGGTCAATTCATTGCACTTCTTTTGATATTCACGGCATTACATGCAAAATATTCACTGCACATTTTCTCCAATCATCTTCAACCCAGGGTTCTTAATAGCTTGTACATTATCATAGACGATAAATCCTTCCCCATCCCACCACCAGACATGATGCATTGGATCACATCAAAAATCAATGAGTAAATTGAAGATTGCCGCACCAGTCCAAAACTCGATCTCCGGCTGCTCATTACTAAAATTTCTTAACTTCATATTTCTCCCTGTTCACTCTGGCCAAGTCAGGCTTCAATATCTCATCAGATTATGATTATCAATCACAATTCAAAGAGAATTATAAGCGAGATCTACGATCGATCTTAATTACGAACCTGAAATTCAAAATCAACAACAGCAGGTGAGCGTGCGGCTGGATTGCGGCGGCAGTGGTAGGTGGTCGTGCGGTAGCAGCAGGTGGTCGTGCGGCAGCAGCAGGTGGCCGTGTGGAGGGATGGCAGGGCCTGACATGGGTCGCTAGAGGTCAGGTTAGGTTTGGAAAAAAGGAATAGAAAGTTAGGGTTTTATAGACATAACCTAAAGGGTATATTAGTCCATGAAAAATATTTATCAATTTATTAATTACGAAATTAATAAAATATTATTAATTTAGATATTATTTTGGGGAAAAAACTAGTTAGGTCATATATTGGGAAAGTGAGGGAGTTTTGGTCATATCTAGGATAATTATTTCTAACAATCTTTATAGTATCAACTCGTTTGTGTAATCACACCTCTTGGGCACATATTAGAGATTCAGGTCCGGATTTTCCCTACAAATAGACCCCTGGGTCGTGCAACCTAAAACACAACATGCATTCATATACCATAGGAAATTTATCAATTTAAGACCTGAAAGATGAGTTTACTATCAATTCTGGATCTAAAAGATAATTGCTCTCATTAAGGGACCCGAAAGATGATAATCTATCACTATAAGACTCAAATAATTAACACTGTTAACTTTTTTTTAAATGGGATATGACATGGCTGCCACACAGATCAAAAGTCCATATTATCTAGGAATAAATAATTTTCACTTCACGTTTTATTTCATCCGGACATTAATCTCATCCGGACATTTCCAAATACTCTCTGTTCGTCTTCCTTCACATGTTCTATCTTATCCTCACCATCTCCAAAAATTTCAACAAATCTCCACCACTCCCAGCCACACCTCCTCATCTCCCACTCCCAGCCGCACCTCCTCATCTCCCACTTCCAGCCAGACCTCTTCAATCTCCATCTCCCGCTCTTCTGTCGCCTCAACTTCCTTCTCCGACCAATCTAACCATGGTGTCGTTTGACCATAGTTTGGAGTAGCCATGAAAAGCTTATCAAGACTAGTAAACTCTTCCAAGGAGAACACGTTAAAGAAAGAACAGTACGAGTGAGTAGTGACAGAAAGCAGATTGAGAGGGCTAGAGAAATGATTCTAGAAGTCATGGACCAGGTTTGTATTAACTTGAAATCTTGTTCTTTAAATAAACCATACTTATTTAGAGTATTTACATTTGAATCTATAGTATGGTTGTGATTTCTGATGGATGATTACATAATGTTCTGATTCCTCCTGTTTTTTTTTGTAGAGAAGAATAGATACCATTTCTTTTTCAAATATAGACAAAATTGATGGAAAAATAGATCATATCTTACAGTATATCCAATTTTATTTTAGTTTTTTAATGAACCTTTGTGATCCTCCTGCTTTCTTCCCAATTGTTGGCAAGAAGATGATAATTAAAGTTCTACTTGCATTGATGTTGACTAAATAACAGTTTGGAAGTATCCTTCAGGAGAAGAGATAAAATTTGTGTAGTACATAAGTAGAGTTCTAAGAAGATTATCCCAACCCTCTACACAGTAATCAACAAATGCTCGTGAGAGGATCATCCATGCAGAACCAGTAAATATATAGTTTAAAGGATGTAGGTAAAGCTCTCCCAAGTTTGACCCAAAATATGTCAGACTTGGTATCCTTATAGAGCCCAGGGTTCTATTTCTACTATGTAGCCAAGCTCTCATAATCATGTGGACATTCCCAGTTTGCATAAAAGAGGATTCTGTTTCTACTCACTAATTGCAGATTTTTTATTTTTTTTCAACTTGAAAGTCCTCCTACTTCAAACTTCCATTTCCAAAATCAAATATAAGATGCCATAGACTCTTCCAAATTGCCTTCTTGACTTTGCATCTTCATGGAACTCCGGTCTCCGGCCTTCAAGGTACTTAAGGTCTGCCTCTCCTTTTAATTCAGTGGTATGTGATTAAAAAAGGTAGAATTCATATTTATGCTTAGTAGATAAGTTTTATTTAAAGGGAAATACAATATGAATTACAAAATCTGCCAAACAGAGATACATGAAGGGAGGGATGCATGGTGGTGATTTTTATGTATGATTGATGGCATTTTCATTGTTATATGTTGGAAAAAAATCCAACTGTTCACTAAAAAAATCCTAATGAGAGTTTATTTTTTAGTCAGTGATTATTTGATCCTTATGATTAGTGTCATATTTGCATAATGACTGTCATTTCTTGATTTCAATTATATCCCTTTTTAAAAATCAAATTAGCTTTTTTGGACACTTGTATATGCTCTGCTATTTGATTTGTGAACCAGATAAAAAGAAAGAAGAGAAAACATATGTGGTAGTTAATCAATACTCATGCTGAAATGCCTTCGTGCATGGTGGGATCATGATCATGTAGAGTTGTAGTTATGTACATCATTTCCCTCTTCCAGGTACTGTAAACAATTTTCATTGAAATGTGACACACAAAAATGATATGAATGAACAAATATTTTGTCTACAATACGGATGTATTTTCTAATCCAAACAAATCCCTTAGAACAAATCAAAACACTTATGGTCTAATTCAAACAGTTCTGACCATTAAAAAGATAAACAAATGAAATACCAATAACACTCCAACTTTAAGTCTAGTACTTTTAAGTATAACAAAGATAAAAACGACATAACTTGTAAACAGTTCTTATTTAAACGCTGTCATTCCAACAAAAGGTAAAATAAAAAAGTTTCAACTTTGCCAATTAAATAAAAGATAACAATGAAGCATCCTCTTTAAGGTTGTTATCTTCTGCCATCTAGATATGGATCATTCTCTTCTTCTTTGTGTGATGAGGATGTTGGGGGCTGACAAAACAGAACATCATCAAGAGATTTCCTGCAAAAGAAATACATTATGACAAATATACATAGTCAAGTATGATAGTAGTGTGTTAAATAAATCATACCTGCTCATTTTCTTTACAAGACCTTTTATTATGGCCAAGCTGTCTACATTTACCACACTTAATCATCCCATACTTTCTCTTAGCTTTATGGGGATCCTTTCGTTCTAATGATGATTTGTGCCTTTGTTTTTTTTGGCCTCCCGGGTGGTCTTCTTAACAATGGTGGGTGCATCCGCTCATTATCAGTTTTAGGCCAAAAATCAGGACCCCCCATTGGAACTACTTCATACTCATAAGCCCTAAAAAAACTCTCGTGTGAAATATTCATGCACATAATTTTCAGCCCTTCCATTAATAGCTTTTATTGCTGCACACGCATGGACGCAAGGAACACCTGTCAAGTCCCATAATCTACAAGTACATGTGTTGTTCTGAAGGTGCACAACAAATCTTTTAGGCCAAAGTGTAACCTCGAATATAACTTCCCCACATGAAATTGCACGCCACCTAGTACTTTCCACGATGCATGCATTCAACCACCATTCACTTTCATCTTTTCCTTCTTTTTTTGCATTAATGTCATTGTTTTAATCCTTATATTGTCAATAAGAATATCTACATGATTGTCTCGATACCTTTTTATGACTCCATTGAAGCACTCAACAA